ATATTGGTGAGCTATGTTGTGGAGACAGTTAGCAAAATGACACCTACTCCGAAAATAATGAGTCGCTTCATTTTATAAAGTGTGTAATTGTAATAAAGATTGTATATCTGCCCAAGTTGACCTTAGATTGGTTTGGTTCTTTCAGCCCTTTTAAAGGGTTTGATGTCCTAAAACCATTTATATTTGTGAGTTTTTAAACTTTTGTTGTCCTCGATCGCATTTGATTATGGTTATGAGCAAAGAAAGCAATAAACCCTTACCTGTCCTTCCCTCAATACATGAATGTATGACTTAAACAATTTAAGAGGACTCTTTACAGTAACTGAATGACTTCTCAAATTTTCTAGAATATATACTGCCAAGAAAATCTTAAGTTGATTATTTTAGCATACTTATCGCAACCAAAATTAATAAAAACAGTAAGTTGCATATATAACTACGTCTTTTGATCTCTGGTGGATAGTGGTATCATTGGCAATCATACCACTTCTTCTTTGTTTTATGTAAGAATCAAACAATCATAGCTATTTTTTAAGGAAAGATAATATATGATTTGTTCTGAATGTATCATAATTATTGATTTCGTTGTAGTATTCAAGGCTTTAACTCTAAGAACTGTACACGGCAGACGTATATTTCACACATGGAGGAACACTGAAGCTCTCGTTGCGGACGGCAAAGTCGATGTAAACGCACTGATCTCACACAGATTCCCAATGTCGAAGTTTGAAGATGCATTCCAAGTATTGTTTAGTGGAAAAGGTTGCAAAATTGTGTTGTATCCAAGTGAATAATTGAATAAATTAAAGAATTATATATAAAGGTGTAAACTTTTAGAAAATTAATAAAATATGTTGAAATATCTTGTGTATTTACAGAGGAATCCAGAATTTAACAGACCCAATATTCAAGTGTCTTCTCAAACCTGTGGTAGTTTTTGTTACATCGACCTTTAACCTGCTGACCCAAAAACAAGTTTAATTTCTTGTTCTTTTCAAAGGGGCATTTACAAGCTATTAAAGGTTGATGTAAGTTGGACATAGATTCAAAAGATATTATATTTTGGAAACAAAATGTTGTCATTATTTCGGTCTTTCAGTTGCTGCTGTGACTTTGACCCTCGACAAAGTAACTTGATATCAAAAGGTGCCTGTATCTACCCAAGGCGTATTATCCACAAACGTATCAGTTAAAATCTTATTAATTGCCGCGAAAAGGGCACTTTTTCCCAAGTTTCAGACATTGACCTTTGACCTACTGAAAAAAAAATAATCAAAAGATGGTCTTGTTCTTTCTTCGGGTCTTTTTCTTAGCTAAGTTTGGTGGAGGTTTGACATATGGTTCAAAATATATTATTCGGAAAAATGCAATTTCAGTATATCTATTGCTACTCTGACCTTAAATAGGAATCTTGTTCATCCCATGAGGCACTCTCAAACTAATTTTGGTAAAAGTTGGACAAATGGCTCAAAAGATTACTGGAAACCGGCAACATTTTGTCCAAATTTTAGTGTTGTTGGTTTCAGATCCATTCCTTTAGTAAGAACTTTTGTCAGAGGCTTTCAAAGATATTCTTACAATTTTATCCAAAGATAGATGTTGTCTCGCTAGCAATCATTCCACATCTTCCTAATTTTTTTTATAAAGCTTTAATATCTAAAAGGTGACATTTTTGTATCATCTCCAGAAGCGACATGTACCGCGGTACAAATGTGGCAGTATGTATGACATAATATCCCTTTGCTGTGAGGTAATGTAAACCCGCCTGGTTACCTCAATGCAGACCAATGTGCATAATCGCCATGAAAAAAGGATGACCCATTTTGCCATCATAGGTTAAAGTGTCAACTAACAGAAAACCGACTACGCCACTGATGCAAATTTTATTTACCGGTACTCCAATTTTAATTTAAAAATCCACTGAATTAAAAATTCTATACTTTTATCAGGATTTTAAACTTTTTCAATCAAGGAATAGTCTTTTTTTTTTGCGTGTCAATTCATACTGGCATCCACAGAAACACAGTTGTATACCAAGAGGCAAACAAAGATCAAGTTTATCAATGTGATATAACATACACGGATTTTAGACCTATCATAAGAGAAAATTATTAGAATTGGGAGCAAACTTTCTACTAATAAATTACATGCAATTAAACCTGAAATTGTAAACACTTTGAATGATTTAACTAATAGAAAAAAGTGTGTTATTTCTAGGTGTCGAATCGAACACACTAAAATAACATCAAGTACACAGTTAGTATAAAAATAAGGAGATGTGGTATGATTGTCAATAAGACACATATCCACCAAAGTTCAAATGAAGTGGATGTAAGGAATTATAGTCAACCGAATGGCCTTCAACAATGAGAAAAACCCATACCGTATATTTGGCTTTAAAGGGCCCGACAAGAAAAATGTGAAACAATTCAATTGAGAAAACTAACCGCTTAATTTATAACAAAACAATTTACGAAAAACAAATATGACCGACAAAAACCCACGACAACCACTGAATTACAGGTTCATGACTTGTGACAGGCACATAAAAAATGTGGCGGTGTGAAACATGTTTGGAGGCGCCAACCCTTCCCTAACCTGGGGGCAGTGGTGTAACGGCACAACACGAAAACAAATTTTACAAAACAATAAACATAAAACAACAACAATCCATGACCACTCAATTACAGGCTCCTAACTTGGGACATACACGTTTTATTTTTAACAAAAAAGCTGAAACGCGCATTTATTTGGCCCCAAACTGTGTTGATTCTAGTGCCAGTGTAAGTCTTATGTAGGAAGGATTTGCTTACCCTTCCGGAGCACCTAAGATCACTGCTGGTTTTTGATAGAGTTGCTCAGTCATTAGTTATCCATGTTGTGTTTTGTGTACTGTTGTTTGTGGTTTGTCGTTTTATTGACATGGCATTGTCAGTTTGTTTTCGACTTACGAGTTTGAATATCCCTTTGGTATCTATCTCCTCTCTTTTACTGCCTATTTTGACATAATAAAGACGCTTGGATTTTTACCAAAAGTTCAGATTGATACATTCCCTGACAGATAACTTCTAGTGATTTCAATTGAATGCTACAAAGAAAATACGATATTATAAAGATGCGAAACGAAATATGCTATAGAAAGTATGTTACATTGTTTTTTTTACACTATTTTGCAGTTATATTATTCATGCCATTAATTAAATCATTTGCAAAGGATTAATTCTTAGCTAAAATTGGTGACTGAAAACAACTTGAAACGTTCCTTTTATTTCTTGTCCATTCATAAGGACAAATAATTAAGTAAATAGTTCTGTTTTGTCATTAATTTGTGAAATTGTGCAGAAAAATATGTATAATTTGCCATGTAATGGTGCAGAAGAGATTGAAATGGCCATAGTTGATAACATCTACGCCACTGGTGTTTGGTTGGTCTCAATAGCAATCATACCACATTTTATGTTTTATAAAGCCGCAGTTTATTTTCTAAAGTGTGATGGTTTGGTCTCACCTCCAGGAGCGACATTGTCCCTGTGCTGTTAGTTAATTTAAACTCACCAGGTCACCTAGATACAGATCGAGCTGTTAGAGCAAACTTTAACAAACTCTATGTGCATAATCGCCATCAAAACTGTTTGATTTTGATTCCTGAAGCTCTAAACCTTGACAACGCTAAAGACGCCGATGAAAATGTATTCACTCCAAATTTTTAATTAAAAACACACTGACTTAAAAATTCTATACTATTCAGGAGTTTACATATTCTCAATCAAGGAATAGTTTTTGTTTTGGGTGTCAATTCATACTGGCATCCACAGAAAGTAAACCAGGAGGCAAAATGATACCCATTGTCGCGAAACAGTGCTGTGACGCGACTTTTAATAAGAAATAAGCAATCAATCAGATCAATATTACTTAGTTCGTCATTTCAGCCATTGAAGCAAATGTAAAGAAAAAGAGAAGTAAAATAAGGTATCCCGTCTGCTGTCTGTATTATCTTCCAGAAATTTATTTCCGGAACAGTTATTGTACTTTCCAGGAATAGATGATAATAGTAGGGATATGCTGCATTCGTCACAACGGTTTTAAATAATAAAATTGAGAATGGAAATGGGGAATTTGTCAAAGAGACAACAACCCGACCAAAGAGCAGACAACAGCCGAAGGCCACCAATGGGTCTTCAATGCAGCGAGAAAATCCCGCACCCGGAGGTGGTCCTCAGCTGGCCCCTAACTAAAATTGTCTGCTAGTTCAGTGAAAATGGACGTCACACTAAACTCCAAAACATATAAATGAACTAAAATTAAAAAACATACTAGACTAACAAAGGCCAGAGGCTCCTGAATTGGGACAGGCGCAAAAATGCGGCGGGGTTAAACATGTTTTGTGAGATCTCAATCCTCCCCCTATACCTCTAGCCAATGTAGAATAAAGAAACACATAGCAATACGCACAGTTAAACTCAGTTCAAAAGAAGTCCGAGTCCGATGTCAGAATAGGTAACAAAAGAAACTAAGCAAATTGACAATGATACATAAATGAACAAAGGACTACTAGCAGTTACTGACATGCCAGCTCCAGACCTCAATTAAACTGATTGAAAGATTATGTCTTCATCATATGAAAATCAAGTACAATAAATAAGTATGCATAATAACCACAAAACCACAAAAGCGTCCGACAAGTTACTAGTATGCAACAATTTAAATTCAAAGAAAAACACAATTTGTCAATTATTAAAAATACTTTAAAGACATACACCATACCAATGTACACCTAAATCTGTTCATACTATCTATCTTCTATTGTATAAACAAGATGTATCATTTATGATATTTGTACCTTTTGTTTGGATTTATGTCCGTCTATAAAATATAGAAAATTATAACATTGTTATTACAACTGGGAAGTTAACAAGCGGGACAAACGCATAATTTACACAATATTGCTTATTTATGACCAACCTCTATGGGACCTCTCACCTTTCTTTTTTTTATTTAAATCCAAGTTCAGTCTTTCATCCGTGTGACAGTGGGGATTCGTTAGCGTTATGCAGTATGAATTGTAAAGTAAATATATATAAATTGCATAATTTAAAATACTGCTTTCACGTAGGACAAGTCTAACCCACAGGAAACGCTTTACCTGTTTTCCTAAAGGATATTGACATCCAATTATGAGTTTACCTAGAGGGGTCGTAAGAAATGAAGATTATTTAGGACTTAAAAGCGAACTTCTCCGGAATAACAAACTATTTGTGGATCCTGATTTCTCACCTAGTACATCATCACTTACATTCTCTGGCTTTCAGCCTCGGATTTCAGGAATACGGAGCGTTATTTGGAAACGTCCCAGGGTGAGTAGCATTTGTTGACATTGTCTTGCTAAATCTTATGAACAGGTGATGAACTAAATGTATATGGTTTTATTTGTCAATATTATAGTTATCGAAACTTTACGGGATATTGCACTATATAAAATTAGTTTATTCTCATGTATATATACTAGTAATCAATATCTATATATATCAACATTGGTAGATTTAAACCTTGGAAGCCTTAAAGAGATTGTAATCAATAATTCGCCGGTGACATATGAGTTTTTTTATGAATCGTTTCAGTAAATTTCTTCCTCGTTTTATAATGGTTCAATTGTTAATTTCCGAAATGAAATCGTTATAATATATAATGAACGGAAACAAAAATAAGGAAACTTTATACTTTTGTAAGTTTCCATAACAAAATTGCAGCAAACATTGTACTTTCTATGGTGGCTTTGCTATCAGATTTTACATTGCAAAAATTTAATTATTGATATGTGTCATTGACAAATAAAAATATTATAACTATATATCAGATGAAACGAAAAACTGGTTTCGTCTATGATAAACCAGTAATAGTATGGATGTCTCAATGTAGAATCTGCTCAAAGTAGAACTTACATGTAAATGATAACAAAACAAAACAAAAACTACATTCTACCAGACAATAATTGCTGCCTTGTGCCAGATTTAAGTCTAATTCAATAGCCAGATGTACAGATCGACAGACGTTTAAATAATTAATTTGTATTGCACCTGAACTAAAGATTTTTTTTTCAGGTTTTTCAGACATTAATTTTCAATATAAAAGTGAGGTTATAACAAACAAACCAGCATAAATTTTCTTTATTGTCAAACCTATTTTCTATTCATTTTTATTCGAATGTTACCGATTTTCGTTGATTTCGTGGCTATAGGAAACACGAATGAAATGTTCAAATAACTTTAGATTGTCTGTAGTTTGCATACTAACATTTTCAAAACCACTAAATCAAATATCCACGAAAATACATTTTTCCCCATTCCACGAATATACATTTTTTCCCCAATCCACGAAAATACAATTTTTCCCCAATCCACGAAAATACATTTTTTTCCCAATCCACGAAAATTGGTAATAACGAAAATAAATGAATCCACGGTATTGCTTTAATTAATGCCAAAAAACAACGCGTTGGAAATACAACCTCTTAGGAGGTAGCTAGAATATACACATAAAGCACTCTACCTTCCTTACAAAATCGACATCCGATTTCTTTTTATTTTTTTATCTGTTGAAGAATCCAGACATCCATGGGTCACACACTATAATACCATTGTGTATTTTGCTGATTGGTTTATTGATTGTTGAATATTTGAAGTCCAGTGACAATTATTTCATGCATTTTCAGGACGAGTGGTTTCTTGAAAATAGCATTTTTTTTTACTTCGACATTTGTAATCTATGCATATTCAGACGGTACATCTATAAGATATATATAAATATAGCCAGGAAAAAAATAACTTTTTATTGTTTTGTATCAAAAGAGCTACATACCAAGTTTATGTTTTATGTCACACCTTTCAATAGGATGTTAAGGTATACAAATAAAGGTCACGTTATCTATTGATCTTTTTGATTTTCGTTTACTATAAAGCAAAATGTATATTATACAAATCATTAACATTCTTTGCAAGTCCTTTGTTTTTTAAGTCCATATTTTTCAAAAAAATATTTTTTAAAATGTCGACGTTATTGCCGACTATGCACATCACAAATTGTGACGCAAAAATAGACTTTGCCGCCCACATGTAATGCGGCGTTCACACATTGCCGATTATGGCTCCCGTTTGAGATCAGATAGCGCTAAGACACGAAAAGTTTAAAAATCGGATCACTATCCTCATTGATCTGGAATGTCCTAACATTGTCTTAACGAAGTCGTATAGGTTCGTAACAGTTTCGTACGGATCGGATATGGTCCGGAGAGGTCGGCCAAGCACACCGAGAGGTAGGTGCGTCCCGTAACATTCGGGGAAACTCAGCCGATTTTGTCTAGTCGGAAAACAATCTTAACTATATCGTGACAGATTCTGATGTATCGTATTGAAATCGTAACCACGTTCTGTGTTTTCTGGACGTTGTCCTCTGGAACGTGCGTGATCTGGAGAAATTTGTCATTGCTGTCATTTTGCCGATTGAGTCCAGATTGCATCCAGATCTTGCTGAATGCGAACCGTCTCTGCCGAAACCGTTGCGGAAAAATCACGTTATTGATACGAAATTCGACAATGATACCCACGTCAGAGTCCCGACACTGAATTACAGAACACAATACGACTGAGTCCAGATAAAGCCGTGTGCAATGCAGTACAGCAGGCTGTGGTAGGATTGCATTCCGACAGTACCTGATCATCCCGAATATGGCGACAGTTTTCTAACGGATATTTTCCGTCAGCGTCGGTTCACTGTCTGGTCACTGTCTGATGATCTCTGTCGGATCACATTCGGTAAAATCGGGACGCTGTCGGGTCAGATTCGGTCGTTTTGTACCATGCAAAAGATACAAATCGGATTAGAATCGGATTAGAATCGGATTGAGAACGGGATAATCGGGACAAATTCGGTTGGAAACGGCTGGATTTGGACGCTTCCTGAACAATATCTGATTGTTGTCGTGATTCAATAAATGTTTTTACAAATTATAATTAAAGTCTGAATTTCCTGCCACGATTCACAGGATCTTGATCAGACTTTTGACAAATTTTAATCGGGAATGGTCCTGTCAAGGACGGCAGTAAAAATCGTGAATGTGTGACCCCAGCTTAACTGCAAAATGTCATGAAAATGTCAACGTCATATTTAAATAACATTTTTATTATTTTTTTAAATATAATTGCTGATGTTGTCATTAAGTCCCAAAAACGGAGATTTTATTATTGTTCTTCCTACTAATATTATTTCATTATCATATTAGTAAAAAAAGACCAATCGTCCAGATGATGAATCGAATGGTGACCCCCACTTCAAAATTATTAGATATATCTGTCTCATGAATCTAAGTGACAAATTACTACTGTCGTAGATTTATTGTCATATTTACTATTTCACACTTTCATGAAATATTATTTTTATCACCAGTTTTTATTGCCGAGGGATCTTCTGAGACAAAATGATGAATATGCGATTGTGTTAATGAGGATGCTAGTAAACTGTGTATGGTTTCTAATACATGTGATTTAATTAAACTCTAGGGTCACATCAATTTGTAGAAAGACAGCCTTATCTTGTACTGAATCTTCTAGCACAACGCAGAAGCCTTTTTATTAGAATTCAGATTCAAAATGCTAACCAAATAAGCTATAGACCAACATGCAATATAGATTGGTTCAATCGAATTAATATATAGATCTCTGATTTCGTTATCTTATATTTACGAACAGGCGAGTTAATATAGGTCATAGTTTTAATCAGATTGAAGTTGGTTCAGAAATCCACAAACGAGTTTTTCTACATATGTCGTGTCGACTTCAATGTGAAATTAAGTCAACTATGGTCGTACTTAGGTTGGGCAGTCGGAATTCAAGCTTCAATTTTGTCTTTTACTTCAAAGTAGGCGGTCGAAACAGTTTTCATTCAATAAAAAGTGAATGGTTTCTGTATGTTTGAAACAAAACAAAGTATCTCTTCTCTCACCGAAGGTGGTTTACCGTAAACTGTATGACACTACCATGTTTTGAACTTCGTTCAGACACCACTGAACGTTAAGGGCATACGATACAGTTTTGATCCCACGGTGAATTTTTGACTTCTGTAATAACATCTGTAAGTTCATCTCTACAGAAATGTGCTTTGAATTTGTGTAACACTTCTTTGGAAATGATTCATTTATTCACATTTTCATGATTGTAGTAAAAAAAAACGACATTTTTTGCTGTAAATTTATCAAACTTAAAAAAAATTTCATCGGTGATTTGTTTATAAATATTGGCACAAATAATCTTCATACATAATCAAGCCAAATGTCATTTTTAAAAAGAAGGGTCCATGAACTCGTTTTGAAGTTAAATCAGTCTGAATAATAAAAATAGTCGAAAAATACATCTTTCCCCGATATGTCACAGTTTAACGTCGGGAAAAAATAACATTTTATGTTAGCAACATCATTACCTCCCCTTTTTAACTGTATCGTATGCCCTCGCGTATGCCCTTAAAGCCCAATTCAATGTCTTGTCGAACCTGGGTTATTGTGGTGCTGATTTTAGTGCATATTTAGTGAGCTGCGCGTATAATCAACAACAGATGTTTGAACCTATGTATAATACTTTTTATCAACTTAGTTATGATTTTGACCTTATATGTCGGGACTATGATGGCAATAAACCATATATCAACTCTTATATGTTACGCTGGGGACTTTACTGAAACTAAGGAACAGCTTACGAAAGGCAGTATGATGATACAACTTTTGTTCACACTCAAATAAAGAAAACATAGGTTTTTTTTTCAGGTTTCTGGATCTTCATATGAATGTTTTTATAATTCAGTGTTATAATAAGAAGGAAGACTTGTTCATTGTTTCCTTATTTAGTCTGATGGAACTAATTTATAAAACACGGACGTCCTTTCCGTCTTGAAATTAATGCCTGACAACACAAAGGTCCAAATTCAAATCAATCATATATATGCACACACGATTGCTCGTATCTTTTGGAATTTTGGGTCCTCAATGCTCTTCAACTTTGTACTTGTTTGGCTTTATAACTATTTTGATCTGAGCGTCACTGATGAGTTTTATGTAGACGAAACGCGCGTCTGGCGTATTAAATTATAATCCTGGTACCTTTGATAACTATTTACACCACTGGGTCGATGCCGCTGCTGGTGGACGTTTCGTCCTCGAGGGTATCACCAGCCCAGTAGTCAGCACTTCGGTGTTGACATGAATATCAATTATATGGTCATTTTTATAAATTTCCTGTTACAAAACTTTGAATTTTTCGGAAAACTAAGGATTTTCTTATCCCAGGAATAGATTACCTTAGCCGTATTTGGCACAACTTTTTGGAATTTTGGGTCCTCAATGCTCTTCAACTTTGTACTTGATTGGATTTATAACTATTTTGATCTGAGCGTCACTGATGAGTCTTATGTAGACGAAACGCGCGTCTGGTGTATTAAATAATAATCCTGGTACCTTTGATAACTATTATAGGATCAGTAAAACAGAGACACATATATAGTACTTAAAGTCGGTCATCATTTCATTCCCTTGACCCTTGAACACTAGAAACCGATTCCATTGGGTGTTTGGTCAAGTTTTTAACAAAGGAAGACAAACGATAGCCATACAACTTAAACTAAGTAACATGAGCCTAACAAACACTTGCCACTTCCCCAATATTAAAAACAGATTTATCATATATATACTAGTATGAAGATTCAGCCATATGTATTGATTGATTGATTGTTGCTTGTTTAACGTCAGTGGCAAATATTTCATGTATATTTTAGAAGGTTCTGGAGAAAAACTATAACTAATACACATTAGAATGCACTGATAGGGACGAAAAGCAAAGAATTTAGTTATGTTCCTTTTACAATAATATTCCGTTTGTTTTCTTGGTATAGCAAAGTCTACTTCGTGTACAACCATACATTATTTTATCATTTTTACTAAAGATGCGTATCAATGCGTGATATGCTTATTTTTTTGTAGCATACTTTGAATTGCTTAGGCTTTGTTCTATATATGTCACAGTAGGTCTCAGAAGATTAAGCATTGTAAGCACTGCTTGCAAAGTAGCTAAGCTCATAAGGGCATAGATTAAGGTCGTGTTATGAGGGTCGTAATGGGGGTACCTTCATGACGAACAACGGTAAAAAATCCTACCAAATGACGTTAACGGTAATTTTTGGTGCATGACGAAAAAATGTACATTTTCTTTATGACGATAAAAAAAAAATCGACTGATTTTGACGAATCACGTTAATTTTTTTCCAAAAATAACGGTAACGGATAATTATTTAAGACCTTTGACGAATCACGTTAATTTTTTTCCAAAAATAACGGTAACGGATAATTATTTAAGACCTCTGACGAATCACGATAGGGATATTTTGACGAATCACGATAAAATTTTAACCGATTTGACGCTAACGATAGCTGAAAATGACCGTTTGACGCATACAATGCTTTATTCTTTGATTCGCATAGTATACATTTCCTTCCAGGACCTGGTTGTCAACCCTAGATTCGTAAAAGCCGGACTTTCAAGGCATGATTTATACCAAGGAGTTTTAGGTGAGTCAGATAGAGATGGTTTGAAACAAATGGTATTTACATTAGTTTTACTAATGGTTAGTGAAACAAAGATGATATATTATACTTGATTAGGAAAGGGATGTTACTTTTACAACCAATTATGTGAAGAAAAAGAACCTGGTTCACAATACTATCCTTCATCTGCTTTGTTTTATTAACAGTGCTATGTTGTTAAGTTTGTAGTCACACACCCTATAACCAGCTATCCTACAACAGAAAGAATAGTACCCGTGTTCCCGATTGCCAATTAGAACCATTGCTTTTTTAGCTCACCTGGCCGAAAGGCCAAGTGAGCTTATCTCATCACTTGGCGTCCGTCTCCGTCGTCGTCGTCCGTCGTCGCCGTCGTTAACTTTTACAAAAATCTTCTTCTCTGAAACTACTGGGCCAAATTTAACCAAACTTGGCCATAATAATTATTGGGGTATTTAGTTTTAAAAATGTGTCCGATGACCCCGCCAGCCAACCAAGATGGCTGACATGGCTAAAAATAGAAGATATGGGTAAAATGCAAGTTTTGCCTATTATTTTGAAAACCAATATAAATAGAGAAAATCTGACACGAACAAAAATATTCCTAATGTTGAGCTCTACCTATTGTTTATTCACGTCAAAACTGTCAAACGACTTCTTATAGGAGTTATTGCCCTTAAAAGATGAAGTTTACCATTTTTAAAAATTGTTGCCTATTATCTCGAAAATTATAATAGATAAACAGAAACTTTAAATAGCAAAAATGATCAGCAAGACAAGATCTACAAATAAGCCTATTGGCCGAAATCTTAAGTCGACTCGTTATTTCCCTTTGAGGATAATTTTTAACATTTTTTTGCATTTTTTGCCTATTATCTTGAAAACAATAATAGATAAATAGAAACTTTAGAAAGGAAAATTATCTGCAGGATAAGATCTACAAATATGTCAACATGACTGAAATTGTCAGTTATCTTTTAATAGAGTTATTCCCCTTCAATGATGATTTTTACTAAAAAGTGGCTATTGTTGAAGATGCAGGTCTTAAGAGCCTTTAGTTTCTATAGTGTATGCAGATTTTTGACTGGCGTTCCGATAGCCATTGAATCCGGTTGTACAATGCGGCTGGTTTTGATCTGTTTTGATACCTGTTACATCTGCAGTACCGATAACCGATAATAATATTGTGTGCAAACCTGTGTCCATATTCACAGTTACATTTTCATTGACCATTGACCTGTACAACTACTCACGAAATCGTTTTAAAGTAAAGATGTTAGGAAATGATACCACGAGGACATTATTTATATAATAAGGAGATGTGGTATGATTGCCAATAAGACGACTACTATCCACCAGAGATTGTTTGATTGAATAATCGCTTAACGTCCAGTGGCAAATATGTCATGCATCTACATATTTTCCCATAGTAGATCAAGAAATATAAAATAACAGATATTTAATTGAAGTGAAATCACTATAAAGTTTGTACTAGAGAAGAAAGTTAAGTAGGCATTGAATATTAAAGCGTATTAATCATCATGCAGTTAATGTTATATATATGTATATATGTCAAATTTCCTAATTGAGAAACGTGATACAACATCAAACACCGCTCGAGCTGAGCCATAAATGTGATGCTGTGTTAGACTATATAATTACATGGTTGAGATCGTACACCTAAGCAGTCATATATTTCAGACTGGAGTAATGATGATGATGATGATGATGAGATGTTGATGAAATGATGATGATGATGATGATGATGATGAGATTTTGATGGTATGATGATGATGATGATGTGATAATGATGTAGATCTATGATGATGATATAGGCTATCCTTTCATAGACGTCTTCTTTGATTTATTATGTTGTTGGGCTGTTGTCTCTTTCGTTAGATACTTTACAGTCCTTTATTCACAAAATAAGTTTTTTTTTTCTTTCCGTTTATATTTTCTTTCACAAGCTATTTATATGTTGAAATATTTCAGGAAACTGTTGGTTCATAGCAGGGGCAGCTGTGGTTTCTACTATACCTAAATTATTGTTTAGATGTGTACCAACAGACCAGGACTTTGACAAAGACTATGCAGGTATGTTTAGATGTGTACTAATAGACCAAGACTTTGACAAAGACAATGTAGGTATGTTTAGATGTCTACCAATAGACCAAGACTTTGCCAAGACTATGCAGGTATGTTTAGATGTGTATCAATAGATCAAGACTTTGACAAAGACTATGCAGTTATGTTTAGATGTGTACCAATAGACCAAGATGTTGACAAAGACTATGCAGGTATGTTTAGATGTGTACTAATAGACCAAGACTTTGACAAAGACAATGTAGGTATGTTTAGATGTCTACCAATAGACCAAGACTTTGCCAAGACTATGCAGGTATTTTTAGATGTGTATCAATAGATCAAGACTTTGACAAAGACTATGCAGTTATGTTTAGATGCGTACCAATAGACCAAGATGTTGACATAGACTATGCAGGTATGTTTAGATGTGTACCAACAGATCAAGACTTTGACATAGACTATGCAGGTATGTTTAGATGTGTACCAACAGATCAAGACTTTGACAAAGACAATGCAGGTATGTTTAGATGTGTACCAACAGATCAAGACTTTGACAAAGACTATGCAGGTATGTTTAGATGTGTACCAACAGATCAAGATGTTGACAAAGACTACTGGTATTTATGATTTTTAAATAGATGTCATTGCATAAAATGTAAGAAACATACTGGAATTAACAGCAAGGATTAAACAAAGGGAATTTCATAAATTTAAGAAATGTACAGAAAGGATTAGCAGGTATTGAAATGGGAAAACTTGAGCTGACTGGTTTACTGGAAGACCCTTTAGGAAAATTCTGTTCTGTCCTGACTTTTTTCTGCTGGAGCCTTAATGAAAAGTTTATGATATTATGACCTGACTGCATATATTTCTGATGGAACCCATGTGGAATAAGTTTCATGATCGAAATCATCTATTGATCCCTTATAGGAGTTATTGCCCTTGAAAGATGATTTTTACAATTTTTTTTAGTTTTTTGCAGAAACTATCATAGATAGAGTGAAACTTTACATGGCAAAAATTGTTCAGCAAAGTAAGACCTACAAATGAATCGACATGACTGAAATTGTCAATTAAACCCTTATAGGAATTAATACCCTTGCAAGACAATTTTTTGTTTTTGTTTGCAGGAACTATGACAGATAGAAACTTCAACAACAAAAATGTTCAGCAAAGTTAGACCTACAGACTGAAAATGTTAATTGACACCTTATAGTTTTCCCCTTCAAAGACTATTCTTACCATTGTTTTTGTTTTTTGAAGAAACTATGATAAAAACTTTAAATAACAAAAATGTTCAGAAAAGTAATAACTACAAATAAGTCAAGACCTACAAATAAGACATGACCGAAATCGTCAATTGATCCCTGATAGGAGTTATTGCCCTTGAAAGAAGATTTTTACCCATTTTTTTAGTTTTTAGCAGAAACTATGATAGATACAGAGAATCTTTAAAATCCAATATTGATCAGCAAAGTAAGACCTACAAATAGTCAAATAACCAACATTGTCAATTAACTCCTTATATTAAAGAGTTATTGCCCTTAAAAGATATTTTTTTCCATTTTTTTTTGGTTTTTTGAATAAACTATTATAGATAGAGAGAAAATTTAAATGGCATGTTCAAACATGCATTAATATACATTAAATAGAAAAATAATCATTGATGCAAGATCTTCACATAAAATTCCAGGTGAGGGATTCAGGCTCTTAGGAGCCTCTAGTTTAGTACATGGACACCTTTTTCTTCCTATATAGTTTTAGCAAATTGATGACATTGATGCAATTATGATCAACAATCAAAGAAAAGTGTCCCGTTATAAAAATGATGCAGGAAAATGTCCTTTTCTTTCCTTCCAAATTTAGATAATAACATAACTATTTTTTACAGGTTTATTTCATTTTAACTTTTGGTGGTATGGTAAATGGGTGGAGGTCATCATTGATGATTTGCTACCAACAGATGGCATGCAGCTGATATATGCCAGAAACAGGAGTGATCCAGATGAATTTTGGCCAGCCCTCCTAGAGAAAGCTTATGCTAAGTATGTTACTTTGTGTAATGTGATATATCAAGTTGTAAGTTGTTATGGTCAAATTGCTTTTACTTTTTACAGGGTAACAGATACAGAACTATAGATTTTTGTAGAACTGTGATAATGTTTTTTTTTTTAAATTATTTTTGCTTGTTTTATTTATGAATTGGAGGTAGGGTCCTCTTCCTCACTGATAATACTTATATTTACACTTTGTATAGTGTTTCTTGCTCTCTTACATATACCAGGGGTATACTATTGCTTCACATTTTGTAGATTGCGAGGTAATTATGAAGCATTAGATGGTGGAAAATTACAGGATGCCATAGTAGATATGACTGGTTCAATATCAGAATATATCGACCTGAAAGACAAATCAAAGATACCAAATAATTTATATGATCTAGTATGGAAAAGTTATCAGATGAATTCCTTGATGGGTGCTAGTATTCATGTAAGTTATTGGCAAAATTTAAATTAGATGAATATTTTTTAACACTCCAGAAATTGCTGATACATACATTTATAAATTGAAGCAATGATTGTTTTACTCCCCAATAGCTAGCATTGTATCTTTTAAAGATAATCAATGAACTTTGACTGAAAAGTAGATAATTTTGTTGAATAGAAATGTTCTTTATTGTTTATTTGTCAATAATTAATCAGATACATGTATGCTTAATAGATAACTTTACGGAGGAGTTTCGGTGACAGATGTTTGTGTGCCTACATTTTTAATTCACATTGTCTACATGATTTTTAAGTGTTCTAACTGTTTGAGTTCAATTTGAACAGTAAGCATTGATTTATATTTTTACTGGATGTAGATATGTGGTAATAGTATCACTATAAACAGTCCATCATGTCCCAACTCTGGCTTTAATGTGAGTATAGTCACATACTCAATACCCACATATATATGTAACTTTAACCTGAACCATAACCTACTAGTTCCTATAAAGAGAAAGATGACTGTACAAAATACATATGAAATGGTGGCTGGGATATTTTGTAGTTGCCAGAAAATTCCAAAACACCAGAAGTTGAGATGACCAATGGTTTGTTCATGGGACATGCTTACAGCATAACAGGAATTGCTTCGGTATGTTTATAGAGATTTTTTGATAATTAGGTCCGAGTACACAGTTATTTCGTAGTGCATTTCTTTTAGACAATAAATGAAAATAAAAAAAATCCCACCTGCGCTTTCTCAATAATATTTTTACAGTGTGTTGTACTACTTTTGGGACAAATTATATCAAAATTATAGAAAACTTCATCGGCTCTAACTCAAAATATGGACAATTCTATGTTAAGGGGGTCTTGAAATCTTTTGACAGCTTCCGAAGTGCTAATTTTTAACCTTTTTCAGCTGGACCAAATCACTACTTTACTTTACAATTCATGACCCAAATTATTTTACAGTGTAATTTCATCCCCCTACTTGCTATTTGAGGCATAAAACATGAAGGAATACATTTGGAAGGGGTACTAAAAAAATTGGCAAGCAACACACTGTCCACACTAGGGACTTTATTCGTGGACAACGAAAATCAAAGGACGATAACTGTGTACTCGGACCTAATAGGATAGAAAAATTTGATCAATCTTAATAAAACTTGGTATGACTAAAGCTTAATAAATTATGAGACTGCTGACAAAGTTTCATGGCAATAGGATATATATTATAGACAATATGATAAATTCTATATTCAACTTCGCGTGTTAAATTTTGACGTTTAAATTGAAAAATTTCAACTATCGACATTTGGGGCTTTAAAAATTAAAATATTGCAAAACATTACATTTTAAAGGGCTTTATATATGACATATTATGTATTTAAAGCAATAGAATACTCATTTGATTTATCAGACTTATCACAATTATTTAAAAGTCAAATTTATATGAGCCTGTGCCAAAAAATGGAGGTTTTCCAATGAAGGGGGGCCTTACATGAAGATGTATTATTTTCCAGCAATTTTAAATTTGTGGAGTTTTTTGGTTATAAATAATCCTTACATATGTATTAAATGTACTTTAAATGGAAAGAAAAATTACAAATAGCATACCATATTAGTATAAAAGGGTCTTAAGCCAAGTAAGACTGAAAATAATTTAGGGTCAATTTAGGCCGTAGCACATATTTACATTTAAAAATGCATACTGAAGCTATAGGAAATAAAAATTTGTGTCTCTTTTATAATTTCTATACTCAGGTTACATGATACAATAAATCTGAGAATAAAGGGACTCTTGCATTCTACTTTTTTTGCAGACAGTATGGTCTGATACAAAGATTTTTCACTTTTTAGTGAAAAACTCGCATGCAATTTTAGCCTCAGCAGGCTTATATTTGAACCACTTGCTATTTAACATAAGAAAAGAAAGATACTATGTGAAATGAAACAGGTACAAAAGACATTGTGAAGTGCTTTTAATACAAATTTAGTGAAATCTTTATTATGGACTTCAACTTTTATGTACCTAGGTCCTCACATTTAACTTGATCCAAACAGGCCGTTACACGAGGGTCATTTATACAACACATTTTGCACATATTGTCTGAGATAATCTTATTTTCTGTAGATTCAGAGTTCACAAATGAGTAATACAACTGGGTTAAAGCATAGAAACACAAATATTGACACAGGAAAACCTGTCACATAGAAAGTCAGAATGCCATTTATGCATCAAAATTGAAAAAGCTTTGAAATGCTTATTTTGACCATATAATGCCAAAATGGGTAATTTTTGCAGAATTTCTATCAAATAAAAGTTTAAATCCTTTAGTTTCATGCTATCTGACAAATTGACACCATTAAATCATTCAGGGAAGTTGCCAAAGTACAGATTCTATATTTACTGATTTCGCCTCTTAGGTCCGAGTACACAGTTATTTCGTAGTGCATTTCTTTTAGACAATAAATGAAAATAAAAAAAATCCCACCTGCGCTTTCTCAATAATATTTTTACAGTGTGTTGTACTACTTTTGGGACAAATTATATCAAAATTATAGAAAACTTCATCGGCTCTAACTCAAAATATGGACAATTCTATGTTAAGGGGGTCTTGAAATCTTTTGACAGCTTCCGAAGTGCTAATTTTTAACCTTTTTCAGCTGGACCAAATCACTACTTTACTTTACAATTCATGACCCAAATTATTTTACAGTGTAATTTCATCCCCCTACTTGCTATTTGAGGCATAAAACATGAAGGAATACATTTGGAAGGGGTACTAAAAAAATTGGCAAGCAACACACTGTCCACACTAGGGACTTTATTCGTGGACAACGAAAATCAAAGGACGATAACTGTGTACTCGGACCATTATATCTGTTCTTATATGCTTACTACTTTTTTTTTTTTAAATATAAATGAAGATACAATAGTAGTACATGTATTAACCTTTAATTAGAAAATGTATAATATCCTTTGTGATGGATTATATCTTTTGTGATGGATTATATCCTTTCAAGATAAAAATATCAAATCTTGCAACACTGGATTTCAAATTACCAGACCAATTGTCCTTAACATGCTAGCTAAGCATTACAATTTTTGTTGCACTTTCGTCATAACATTTATTAACACAACCATTTTTTTGTTGTTGTATAATTGGATCAAAATTACACATTTAATGGTAGATCTTTGATGTTATTGATTGTTACTTATGTAATGTTCAGTGGCAAATATTTCATGCATATTCAGATGATGACAAATTGACAATTAATTCAACAAGTAGGTTCTGCAAGGTAGGTCATCCAAGATGGAGGACAGGAAATTTAGACTGCCACTAGAAAATGTGGAAATGTTGGATAGGGGCAGCAATTGTGCCTTGCAACAGGCTACCTATGGTTGATGTTAATGAAGTTACCTCACAGTATTAGAAAACTATTATATATGCATGCAAGTGTCATTCAGAAAACATTTATGACAGTCAATCATATGATTAGAAAAATGACTTGTGTACAAGGGAAAAATAATTTTGATATTTATGAATTTTCACACAGGTCCCATACAGAGGCAATAATATACAGTTGTTACGTCTTAGAAATCCATGGGGCAGATCAGAATGGAAGGGAGACTGGTCTGATCAGTAAGTTGCTTAGTTTTCTCTTAAAAATTGATAGGTCAGAAAAAGGAGGGAGGCAAATTTGCCTGATAAGTGTGTTGTATATAGGACTCTTTGTGTTATTTTTTGTTATGATTCACAATACTGAATTCTTCATTTTTACTTTGAACTGATCCTAAAATCTCTTGCACTCAAGAACATGAATCATTTTATAATTTATATATTGCATATAACAATGACAAAATTTGACCACCCAAGGACAAAGTTCCTCAGAGATTTTTACAAGTAGTTAGAATAATCTAGTATTTATAGTACTTTTTGAATTGATTAAATAAGACAAATTTTAAAATATAACTATTTGTTTAATGTATTAAGCAGACAAAAAAAATAGATATAAATCAGTCTGGTCAGACAACTACAGAGGGAATTTTTCAAGTAAAAGTATAACATTAATCATTTGTTTTAATATGTTATTTTACTAGTTATAAAATTAACAGAACAGGATTTTTATTGTTTTCTTTTGACAGCTGTTACACTTTTCACTAAGAAATTTTACTACAAATAATTGTTAGTTTTATTGAATTATGCATGACTTAAATGTATATTTTTCTTGTCACTTTTTTGGTGAAAATGGCTAATGGTATTTTGCAGCTCAGATGAAATCAGGAACATCTCACAAGATGCAAGGACAAAACTCGGAATAGTCATTAGAGACGATGGAGAATTCTGGTAATTCTTGAAAAATATTCTACTCACAAAGATGTTTGCTTTTTTTCACAAAATAATGTATCTTAAACTTTTATATCACAACCCCCTCAATCAACTTTAGCTCATTCCTTGTTTGGATTTCAGTTGATCTACAAAAATAAGGTTGTCATTAAAATTCAAAATTTGTAATCAAGTTAAAATTTTATGAAATATCTATCGTTACTACATTCATAACTCGCAAACACACATGATTCAAACATTACCATAACCAAGATCATTCATGTGTGCATGCTTCAGTTTATCAGCGGGTACTAAACACCCGCACTGAAATTAAAGCATGGGGTGGTGGTGGGAAAGTTGACTGGTTAGTATAAATATTTCATAAAATTTTAACTTGATTACAAATTTTTAAATTTTATTTCAATTATTTATACCTACCAGTCAGAATCAGAATCAGTCAGAGTCCAATTGCTCTAGTTTAGATATGCCTTGATATTTTTCAATGAAGAATCAGGATAAGCTTATTTAATCACTTGAACGATCCATTTAGAAATAGTTTGTGACGTTACAGCCTTATGCAGTTCACATATAGAAAGAAACAGTTTTCCCTGCTGGTCTTTAATATCTTAAATACTTCTAAATTTCTTGGTTCTTTCCAAAAATTGTCACAGACATATGAAAGAATCTAACTTCTTATTGTCTGTGAATGCAGGAACAACAATTTTTGAATTTATATGATTTTGTCGATCCTGCTTCGCCAAACCACATCTAATAAATGTAATGCCTTTTTGTTGTATCCTTATAAAGGAATGGTTCACTCTGAGAGACTGAAAATCGCCACATCTCCTGAAATAGAGATTAGAAAGACAGTTTTAAATGTCAATTGCTTCAAATCAATATTTTCAATAGGTTCAAAAGGTTCTTTCTGCAATAAGCTTAAAACCAACTGCAAATCCTATTTAGGTAATAATTTTGTGGTAGGCGGTCTAGAATTAAAAACCCCTTTTATAAGTCTTAATGTAATATATGGATGTTGACCTACTACAGTATTATCAACTTGAGGTAAAACATTGGAGAGCATAGACCTGTACCCTGCAATAGTCCTGTATTGCAATCCATTTTCAAACAGATGGGCTAAAAAATCTGCTACCTGATTTAAAGATGCATTATGGGGATTTCCCTTGTACTACACCATGCAGCTACAGTACTTCTTGAATTTTGCACTATAGTCTTTCTGAGTACCTTTCCTCCATGAAGCTGAAAGTAAATTTCTAGCTTCTTTTTAAAAGCCTTCTGCTTGGAAAGGTCTGTCGATAGAAGCCAAGCAGGCAGACTGAATACCCCCAGGTCTGGATGAAAAATTTGAGACCTTGTTGAAGTTATTCCCGATACTTAAGTGTCTCCTTGGCCACAAAGGAGCTATAGGGAGAATCTGACACTGGAACTGCCTCATATATTGCAATATCTTGGGTATCAGGAAATTTGGGGATATGAGTAGGCATACATTTTCTCCGAAGATATTGTCAGGACATCCAAGGTAAAAGCTTGAGGATGTGGAATCCATGAGCAAAAAACTTTCATCTGACAGTTGTCTGCCAAGGCAAATAAATACATCAGAGGTTGGTCCCACATGAAAAAAAATTCTCTACAATTTGAGTGTTCAGTGACCACTCTGTATGAAGAATTTTGTTCCTGCTCAGGTGATCTGCAATTATGTTTTTCTTTCCCATTATATGAGCTACTTTCAGGGTTATATTGGATTGAATTTCTTAAGTCCAAAGTTCCCAGGTTTTGTAACTCAACTGAGGTGATTTGGTCCCCCTTGTTTGTTGATGTACTGGACCACAGTTGTGTTGTCTGATCTAATCAGTACCGATTTCCCTATCATATATTTTAGAAAATATTTGATTGTAAGCACTACTGCTTCCAATTCCAAGTAATTTATGTGTTTCTTGCTTTTAGAAACAGACCATTCCCGCTGAAAAGTTTTCTTGTCCATTACACCCCATATCCTGTTTTTGAAGCATCTGTAGTTATGGTTATACAAGTCTGTTGAGGTTGCAAAGAGAGGCTTTCGGCATGTTCTCTGAATTTAGCCACCAAATCAGATGAGATTTGAGATGTTGCATAACTGGGACTTGTGTTTTGAACTCTTGACATGCTGGTCTCCAAAAAGAGAGAAGATGGAGTTGAATTGGTCTCATGTACAAACGAGCATTTGGAATTAGTTCTATACATGTGGCCATTATCCCCAAAAGATGAAGAAAATCTTAAGCTGTTATAGTACTTGGATTTCTTTCACTATTTTTTTGAGAGTCTAGATTCAACTTGTCTATTCGTTCCTGTGTTTGGAATATTAACCCTTTTTCTAGGTCGTAAAGCACCCCTAAATAAATCAATTTCTGACTGGGAACCAGTTTGGACTTTTCTTTGTTCACTATGAACACTAGTGATACCAAGACATTCTGCTCGATCTAGGCATAGATGTGCTTTTTGTTGGTTTATTATAAACCAATCGTCCAGATATACTACTAATCTTATATTTGTCGTTCTCAAGTAGGCTGCCACTACGGACACTATTTTTGTAAAGACTCGTGGGGCAGATGTTGGACCGAAGCACAGAGCTTTGAATTGAAATGCTTGATTTTGAAGGTAAAATCTTAGAAACTGGCTATGACTTGAAAATATTGGGACACGTAAATACGCATTACTTAGGTTGAGCGTTATGGCCCAATCTCCTGGTTTTACTATAATCAACACTTTGCTCAGTGAATCCATCTTGAAATGTTTTTTCTGAAGATACCCGTTGAGAGGTCTCAGATTTATGACTGGTCTCATCTTCCCATTTTTTTGGGGGACCAGAAAAAATGTGCTGTAAAAACCTGATTGAATTTGTTCTCTCTGAACCTGTTCTATTGCATTTTTTTCTATTAAAATATTGACCTCTTGTAAGTAAAATGTCCATATTTTTTTGAGATACTATTTTGTTTTATTCCCTGCATATTGGTTTCTTTATGAACTCTAATTTGTAACCTTTTTCTGTTACAGACAAAACGCATTGGTCGTTTGTTATCTTTTTTCCAATTTTCTAGAAAAAATCTGAGATGACCCCTTACTGGTATCTTGTCTTGATTTTGAAATAAAATTACCTGTATCTCTGAGTCAGCTGGTTGTTTCTTGGGGATACGAAAAGAACCCCAGGAACCTGTACCACTGTTTGATGTCTTGGAATCTTTGTTTTTCTTGTCTTTATTTCCAAAGCCACCTCTCTGTAAAGACTTATTAGAGGAATTTATAGTAGACTGTCTATTTATAGACAGTTTCTTATAATTATTGAAATTATTATAAGTAGAAGTTCCTGCAAACTTTGATTGTTTATTTGACCAACAATCATGACTTTCATAGTCCAACTTTCTTTTGTTGCCTTTGTGATATTTCGGGTAACAAATCTTCCAATTGTTCCCTTTGCTCTTTTCTTTTCTCAAGTTGTTTTTCAAGACCTTGTCCAAAAACACCATCTTCAGAAAGTGGTAGATTCCTTTAATAGCTTGCATATCATTTAAATTATTTATGCCTGCATCTGTTGAAGCACATTTCCTTCGAATCATATGATGAAAAGCTCCAGCTCTACCTATCTGGTCAAGAGATTTGGTTGACATAGCAAATGAATCTTTCACTAATTGACAATTTTCTTCACTAGCATTGTAATTTTCTAAATTACCCAAAAAAGTGCCCAAGGCTTGTTGCATATAAGAAATAGAAATAATTCCCATTCTGGAAGCTACCTGTCCAGAATAGGCTAGCTTCTCAATTTGTTTCAAAGGTTGAGAAAATAACTCTGATTTCATGGATTTGCCAAAGTCTGCAAACAAGCCTATATAAAATGTGTACTTTGTTAAACATTTGAATTTGTGGTTTACCTATACCTATGAAATCCAGATAAATTGGTATCCCTCGAATAATAGTAAATCCACAGTAGTTTGATAATTCAAAACAGGGTAAGTGATACATGGTATGTGATACAATACAGGCATATGTGCAGGTTATGTGACATAGGTTTCAATGTACATGTAACAACTATGTCAGATATCCAACAGATAAACAATACCTCATTGCAGAGCTAAAAACCATACCTGACCACTATAATACAATCAGATGATTTTTTTTCTTGCACTATTTCAAACATTAGAAAGACAAGAAAAGAATATATGAAACAACTGAAGAAGCAAGATGATACCATACTTGACCAAAGTTTTTTTTTTATCACACTACTGTTTTAAATTTCTGTAGAGCACTCATGGAATAACTGTTTATTTGTGTTGAAGTATTGTGTGATAGCACTCATGGCACAAATGTTTATTTGACTGTGATTGAATATTGTGTGGTATCACTCATGGCATAACTGTTTATTTGACTGTGATTGAGTGTTGTGTTGTAGCACTCATGGCACAACTGTTTATTTGACTGTGATTGAGTATTGTGTGGTAGCACTCATGGCATAACTGTTTATTTGACTGTGATTGAGTGTTGTGTTGTAGCACTCATGGCACAACTGTGTATTTGACTGTGATTGAGTACTGTGTTGTAGCACTCATGTCACAACTGTTAATTTGACTGTGATTGAGTGTTGTGTGGTAGCACTCAATCATGGCACAACTGTTTATTTGTGTTGAAGTATTGTGTGGTAGCACTCATGGCATAACTGTGTATTTGACTGTGATTGAGTGTTGTGTGGTAGCACTCATGGCACAACTGTTTATTTGACTGTGATTGAGTATTGTGTGGTAGCACTCATGGCACAACTGTGTATTTGACTATGATTGAGTATTGTGTGGTAGAACTCATGGCACAACTATTTATTTGACTGTGATTGAGTATTGTGTGGTAGCACTCATGGCACACCTGTTAATTTGACTGTGATTGAGTATTGTGTGGTAGCACTCATGGCACAACTGTGTATTTGACTATGATTGAGTATTGTGTGGAAGAACTCATGGCACAACTGTTTATTTGACTGTGATTGAGTATTGTGTGGTAGCACTCATGGCACAACTGTGTATTTGACTATGATTGAGTATTGTGTGGTAGAACTCATGGCACAACAGTTAATTTCACTGTGATTGAGTGATGTGTGGTAGCACTCATGGCACAACTGTTTATTTGACTGTGATTGAGTGTTGTGTGGTAGCACTCATGGCACAACTGTGTATTTGACTATGATTGAGTATTGTGTGGTAGCACTCATGGTACAACTGTTAATTTGACTGTGATTGAGTATTGTGTGGTAGCACTCATGGCACAACTGTTAATTTGACTGTGATTGAGTGTTGTGTGGTAGCACTCATGGCACAACTGTTTATTTGACTGTGATTGGGTATTGTATGGTAGCACTCATGGCACAACTGTGTATTTGACTGTGATTGAGTATTGTGTGGTAGAACTCATGGCACAACTGTTAATTTGACTGTGATTGAGTGTTGTGTGGTAGCACTCATTGCACAACCGTTAATTTGACTGTGATTGAGTGTTGTGTGGTAGTACTCATGGCACAACTGTTAATTTGACTGTGATTGAGTGTTGTGTGGTAGCACTCAATCATGGCACAACTGTTTATTTGACTGTGATTGAGTATTGTGTGGTAGCACTCATGGCACAACTGTGTATTTGACTATGATTGAGTATTGTGTGGTAGAACTCATGGCACAGCTGTTTATTTGACTGTGATTGAGTATTGTGTGGTAGCACTCATTGCACAACCGTTAATTTGACTGTGATTGAGTGTTTTGTGGTAGTACTCATGGCACAACTGTTAATTTGACTGTGATTGAGTGTTGTGTGGTAGCACTCAATCATGGCACAACTGTTTATTTGTGTTTAAGTATTGTGTGGTAGCATTCATGGCATAACTGTGTATTTGACTGTGATTGAGTGTTGTGTGGTAGAACTCATGGCACAACTGTTTATTGACTGTGATTGAGTATTGTGTGGTAGCACTCATGGCACAACCGTTAATTTGACTGTGATTGAGTGTTGTGTGGTAGCACTCATGGCACAACTGATTGAGTATTGTGTGGTAGCACTCATGGCACAACTGATTAAGTATTGTGTGTTAGCACTCATGGGACAACTGTGTATTTGACTATGATTGAGTATTGTGTGGTAGAACTCATGACACAACTGTTAATTTGACTGTGATTGAGTGTTGTGTGGTAGCACTCATGGCACAACTGTGTATTTGACTATGATTGAATATTGTGTTGTAGAACTCCTGGCACAACTGTTTATTTGACTGTGATTGAGTATTGTGTGGTAGCACTCATGGCACAACTGTTAATTTGACTGTGATTGAGTATTGTGTGGAAGCACTCATGGCACAACCGTTAATTTGACTGTGATTGAGTGTTGTGTGGTAGTACTCATGGCACAACTGTTAATTTGACTGTGATTGAGTGTTGTGTGGTAGCACTCATGGCACAACTGTTAATTTCACTGTGATTGAGTATTGTGTGGTAGCACTCATGGCACAACTGTTAATTTCACTGTGATTGAGTGATGTGTGGTAGCACTCATGGCACAACTGTTTATTTGACAGTGATTGAGTATTGTGTGGTAGCACTCCTGGTACAACTGTGTATTTGACTATGATTGAGTATTGTGTGGTAGAATTCATGTCACAACTGTTTATTTGACTGTGATTGAGTATTGTGTGGTAGCACTCATGGCACAACTGTCAATTTCACTGTGATTGAGTGATGTGTGGTAGCACTCATGGCACAACTGTTAATTTGACTGTGATTGAGTATTGTGTGGTAGCACTCATGGCACAACCGTTAATTTGACTGTGATTGAGTGTTGTGTGGTAGTACTCATGGCACAACTGTTAATTTGACTGTGATTGAGTGTTGTGTGGTAGCACTCAATCATGGCACAACTGTTTATTTGTGTTGAAGTATCGTATGGTAGCACTCATGGCATAACTGTGTATTTGACTGTGATTGAGTGTTGTGTGGTAGCACTCATGGCACAACTGTTTATTGACTGTGATTGAGTATTGTGTGGTAGCACTCATGGCACAACCGTTAATTTGACTGTGATTGAGTGTTGTGTGGTAGCACTCATGGCACAACTGTTTATTTGACTGTGATTGAGTATTGTGTTGTAGCACTCATGGCACAACTGTGTATTTGACAGTGATTGAGTATTGTGTGGTAGAACTCATGGCACAACTGTGTATTTGCCTATGATTGAGTATTTTGTGGTAGAACTCATGGCACAACTGTTTATTTGACTGTGATTGAGTATTGTGTGGTAGCACTCATGGCACAACTGTTAATTTCACTGTGATTGAGTATTGTGTGGTAGCACTCATGGCACAACTGTTTATTTGACTGTGATTGAGTACTGTGTTGTAGCACTCATGGCACAACTGTGTATTTGACTGTGATTGAGTGTTGTGTGATAAAACTCATGGCACAACTGTTAATTTGACTGTGATTGAGTGTTGTGTGGTAGCACTCATGGCACAACTGTGTATTTGACTATGATTGAGTATTGTGTTGTAGAACTCATGGCACAACTGTTAATTTGACTGTGATTGAGTATTGTGTGGTAGCACTCATGGCACAACTGTTAATTTGACTGTGATTGAGTGTTGTGTGGTGGCACTCATGGCACAACTGTGTATTTGACTATGATTGAGTATTGTGTTGTAGAACTCATGGCACAACCGTTAATTTGACTGTTATTGAGTATTGTGTGGTAGCACTCATGGCACAACTGTTAATTTGACTGTGATTGAGTATTGTGTTGTAGCACTCATGGCACAACTGTTTATTTGACTGTGATTGAGTGTTGTGTGGTAGCACTCATGGCACAACTGTTTATTTAACTGTGATTGAGTATTGTGTGGTAGCACTCATGGCACAACTGTGTATTTAACTATGATTGAGTATTGTGTGGTAGAACTCATGTCACAACTGTTAATTTGACTGTGATTGAGTGTTGTGTGGTAGCACTCATGGCACAACTGTTTATTTGACTGTGATTGAGTATTGTGTTGTAGTACTCATGGCACAACTGTTAATTTGACTGTGATTGAGTGTTGTGTGGTAGCACTCAATCATGGCACAACTGTTTATTTGTGTTGAAGTATTGTGTGGTAGCACTCATGGCATAACTGTGTATTTGACTGTGATTGAGTGTTGTGTGGTAGCACTCATGGCAGAACTGTTTATTGATTGTGATTGAGTATTGTGTGGTAGCACTCATGGCACAACCGTTAATTTGACTGTGATTGAGTATTGTGTGGTAGCACTCATGGCTCAACTATTTATTTGACTGTGATTGAGTATTGTGTGGTAGCACTCATGGGACAACTGTGTATTTGACTATGATTGAGTATTGTGTGGTACAACTCATGGCACAACTGTTAATTTGACTGTGATTGAGTGTTGTGTGGTAGTACTCATGGCACAACTGTGTATTTGACTGTGATTGAGTATTGTGTTGTAGAACTCATGGCACAACTGTTTATTTGACTGTGATTGAGTATTGTGTGGTAGCACTCATGGCACAACTGTTAATTTGACTGTGATTGAGTATTGTGTTGTAGCACTCATGGCACAACTGTTTATTTGACTGTGATTGAGTATTGTGTGGTAGTACTCATGGCACAACTGTTTGACTGTGATTGAGTATTGTGTGATAGCACTCATGGCACAACCGTTAATTTGACTATGATTGAGTGTTGTGTGGTAGCACTCATGGGACAACTGTTTATTTGACTGTGATTGAGTATTGTGTGGTAGCAATCATGGGACAACTGTGTATTTGACTATGATTGAGTATTGTGTGATAGAACTCATGGCACAACTGTTAATTTTTGTTTGAGTATTGTGTGATATTTTCTATGTCATTTTATTTCAACAGGATACCATTCATAGATGTATTAAGAAACTTTGATGAAATCCAATTGTGTCACTTACAGCCAGATTCATTAACATCAGAAATAGCCAATGATGAGGTATTTGTATAGAGTTTTGAAATTTAGGTTAAGGACTGATATTTATTACTAAAACAGAATTATAATACCCCTTTCTATGAAGTAGTTGAGGTTGTACAGTTTTTGAACTGTCTGTCTGTCATTCAGTAATTTCTGTCAGTATGACCTTCAGTCGGTCATTCATTTTTTCGTTTCTGGATGCTATGGTATCATATAATGAGTGAAAGATCCCTATTGAATTTGAGGTCAACACATACAAGGCCAAGGTTGTTACAAAGTTACTAAAATATACTGAAATTTGTGCAAAAACGTGGTTTCTTGGTGTAAAATCAAATAATACAGATGGGATTGCAACCTTACTTTTATATATTGTCATATATAATATAGGTAGATCCCTATAAATCATATATAATATAGGTAGATCCCTTAAAGGTCTATTTCTAAGTTATAAAGCATAATTGACATAATTTCTGCATAAAAGTGGTTTTCGGATGCTAAATCGAGTACTACATTTGGGATTACAAACTTGATAGGATATATATTGTCATATATAATGTGATTTTGACTTTGCTAATGTCTAAGGTCAAAAGGTCAATGGTGCAGAAAAGTGGTTTGAGGATGTATTATATGGGATTGATACCTTACTTGTATATGTGGTCACATATAATAAGAGAATGAATGGAAGATTCAAGTCACTTGGGCTAAGGTCAAGGTTATACTTACTAAAAATAGATTATAGTGAGACAATATTTCTATTTTAAATTAATATTTGGGTGAGGGGTATGTGAGCTTGCTCACTAAAGGTTCTGAAAAAGATTCAGATGTACAAATTTCTTTGTTAAATATGATAAGTGGTATCAACTTGTCAATTATAGATGTTAACACACTGTAAGCCAAGGCCAATATATTTTTATGAAGGCCAGTGGGACCCTTAAACTTTCATTCAATGGTCATCTTTTGGAACCACTAGAAATCAAGGAAGAGCAGAGGATATAAAAAATTGAACTTTTGCATCTGACAAATGCTGTTCAAAGGATTAAAACAAGCTAAAAAAAAGTAAAAGTACAATTTTTTGCTCCTGCTTATTGTGTAGTATTGAAATTTTAACAATAGACTTTCCAGAGATTGTTAGACCTATGGACTTATTTTACAGAGAAAACAAAATTGGGAAGTAACAGTTTACCATGATGCTTGGATAAGAGGACTTACTGCTGGAGGTTGTGGCAATCATCCATACCAAGGTAAAAATAATAAATTATGTCAATACTGAATTCAAAAGCAACAACATATATATGTAAAGTAAATGATTAAAGTAAGGGGAGATAATCTTCTTCTGTGGACTGACTGTCAGAATTCAAACCAATTGTCCCCATTACAGTACAAGAGATTGGTTGGTATTAGACTTAAACCTTAAAAATAGAGAACATTACTGTTGCATATGTTGTATCCAACATCTTGACTTAGTAGGGGAGATAATTAACTGTTGTAGATATTTACAGTTATCCCAGCAAAGTTGAGTCAGATCTTTGGTGAGAACTTATTATGAAAGAGATTCATAATTATAATCAAAGTTCAAGGTCACTGTTTCAAAAATAGAAATTTTAAAGGTAAATTGTTTGTAGGCAAAATCTTATTTTTTACTTGCTTAATTGAATTGAAACTTATACTGATTAAAAGGTATTAGTTTTTTAATTTTTTGGTCATTTTTTTGGTCAAAGTTTAAGATTGCTGTTACTAAAAGGTCAAAAGTCAAATTTAAAGCTACTAGAATAGACTAAAAATATAGAAATAAGAGGTGCATTACTTCTGAGTGATTACTTGCTGGATTTTAATTAAACTTGTACAAGTAATTGATAAGTAAGAAAGGGAAAACACTTGCTGATTTTGAGGTCAATTGGTCAAAGGTTACAGTCCCACTTACACAAATAGAAAGCTTTACAGGTATGAAATTCTTGGTTTCTTGAATATATCCCAAGACAAGCTTATATTTTTCAGGAACATTTATATTGGGCATGTGACTCCAAGTCCTTGCAGGTTAACCAGGTTTAGGTGAACCCCTGACCATTTTCACTAGAAAAAATCATGAAATAGAACTATTTCTTATATTACAGTAATGTAATTGGGCATGTGACTCCCAAGTCCTTGCCGGTTAACCATGTTTAGGGGAACCCCTGCCCATTTTCACTAGAAAAATCATGAAATAGAACTTTCTTGTTTTACAGCAATGTAATTGGGTATGTGTCTCCCTCAACCTGGCTGGTGTTCCAAAAAGATTTTCTGTATATAAGGGCTTTAGAGAGAGTAATATATACTGTATATTTTTTGTTTTCTTTTAATCAATTCTGGTATTATTGGATATGTCTGGGACCTTCCATCAATATATAGTGTAGTTTGGGGAACATAGGTGTATCATGCCAACTCTACTTGTTTTTATTGATCCTTCAGAAAAAATACTCAAAAGTTAAAAGTCTGGTGGACATTTACATTTTCAGTAGGAAAATTAAATCCTGGTAATGTTCTTCTTAAAATATTTCCACCTCTTTACTAATATTTAAGATTTAAGTTTTGTCACACAAGGATTAAGGATGTCTTATTTGATTATGTTAATTTTGAAATGTTCATGCACAAATTAGTGCCATTATTCACCTCTGATGTCTTGATTTCTTGCTTCTTCCATTGGACTCTATGTGAAATACGTAACATATAATGTGCCTGTCTACATTTAAAATTGATTTTAATTCAATCAAACATCAGTTTTATCATTTTGATCTAAAAGTATATATAGTTTATCCCATTACCATTTACAAGCCGCATTAATAATATGTCTGATATTCATAGAAAGTTGACATTTTACACAGCTTTAGATAAGCATGCCATGTTATGGTTTCAGTATAGATTATATATTGTAAGAAAATTTGTGTCATTTGATATGCATATGTAACCATAAGAATTAGGTAATAACACATATAAATGCGTGTAGAAATAAGAGTTTGTATTTGTTCATTGCTTAAATGCTTCACAAACATGGTGCTACATCATTTGCACACAATCAAACCAATGATTATAGAAACTGTGTTGGAAATTACTAAGATGTTTACCTGTGAATTTCTTTTCAGATCTTTACTGGAAAAATCCTCAGTTTTTTATAAGACTAAAAGATGTGGATATTACAGACAGTTCTGGGTTATGCACCCTGATTGCAACTTTGACAGAGAAAGAAATGAATAATAAATCATCTGTTGCTATAGGATTTGATGTGTATAAGGTAACTATGTAGGTTTAATGATCTTTAATAGAAAAAAGGTCTAATAAATATCAGAATATATAAGGGTTACAGTTCTCATTTCTAAAAAAAAGGAAAAAAATTACAATACATTTTTGTTCAACTAAATTATCTGAGTTATCTCCCATTATAAGGCAATTTCTACAATTGCTAAAATAATGTTCTGTTTCTGAAATAAAAGTCTCTACCATAAGATGAAATTATGAACTATTTCTGCAGCAAAATTAGCTATTTTAGTGAAAATCTGGACTGACAATATGCAGTCATTTGTGATCCAAAATGACAGATTACTATGCGATCACAAAGGTCCATATTCAAAAATTATATTTGAAAAAGTATATATAATTAAATGTTCATTGTACAGCTAAATGTTGAGTGTAACTTCTAGCCACAGATCTTATTCAGACAATTCAGAGAGTTTTATTTAAATTTGAACATGTATAACCTGATTTTTGTACAGTTGAGAGAGTTTCAAAGGAGACCACTAGATGGAGAATCAGCTCCAAGAAATGCTTTAATTCTACGAAAAAGATCAGGGGTTTATGAATACAATCGTGAAGTCACAAGAAGATTTGAGTTAGACCCTGGTGTATATGCTTTAATACCTAGTACATTTAAGGCACATGATGAAGCCAAATTTATGCTCAGGTTGTACACAGAGAAAGCAGCTGACAGTGGGTAAGTTGATTTTTTTTTACTAAATTATAAATTAACTCATAAAAGTGATCAGATTTGGTGTATATATATGTAAGATTACATCAAATACACTACCATGGACAAACACAAATGAGTTCACTGTATATCTGCAGTGACAGTTATTGTCATAGCATAAGTAAACTTAAGATCACACAACGGTCAAGGGTAAAAGATAGTACAAATAAACAATCTGAATCCTATTTTGGAATAGCACAATTGGATTTGGATAGTTTAATTGTTGTTGATGAGATATCAATGCTTTTCTTAATTTAAGTGATTTCCAAGAATAGACATACTAGAAAGTAATTTATTGTAATAATAATTGTCATTAGACATACGTTTTGGAATTATCAGAATACAATATAAAGCAAGCTTTGCCTGCAGTATAATAGATCTGTGGAGTACTGATTAATTAATTTAATTTCGTAGGTACCAATTTTCGTGGATAAAGGAAAAATTATATTTTCCTGGATATTTGATTTCATGGTTTTATGAAAGTCTGCAAACAAGCCTATAGAAAATATTTACTTCATTGAACATTTAAATTCGTGGTTCACCTAAACCCCAAAAAAAACATGAAAATTGGTATCCAACGAATAATAATGAATCCACATTAACCTTTTTGTCATTTTTTATTTTTGTCAATTTTGTCAACATTTCAGGCTACTGGAAGAAGATGATAAAAATGAACTAGTAAGTATAGTATTTGTTATCAGTTTATAATATATAAAGGATGGTTTCCCTTAACAGACATAAAAATGTCCTATTCTCATAATGAATTATACATAGAAGTTTCTGATAAAAAATAATATATTTTTTTATTAATGGTGCTTTCCATAGTTATTAGCTGTTTTGCAGTTGATTAAATATATAAAAGTAGGCCCAAGACCACAATTAATGACCCCGCTTTTCGTTGTCCACGAATATAGTTCCTTTTAATTAGAGTGTATTTTTTCTTAATTTTTTTCCTTTCCCTTCCTCACTCATTTCTTAGTTTTTTTTGGGTGGAAATGAAAGAAGAGAGGTGAAATAAACTTTTGGATGTTGTATTTTAACTGATTTTGAAAGGAAAGAGTGAGTAGGCCAGGTGCAAAAAGGTGATGTTTACAGTTTTCGGAACATCTCTTGACTTGTCCATAGGGGTATGGATGTGTATTGGCTAAATTTGTAAGAGTGATTGGTTCAATCTTTCTGAATTTTGGATATATTTTTGGACTAGTACTATACATTACACACACAAAAGATTTGACAAAAATGCTTGGTGCAATTTAAAAAAAAAAAAAAAAAAACGTTATAAAGAACTAATAGAGGAATTTAATTGTGGTCTGTGGCCTAGGAGGTGAATTCAGGAAATATTGAATTTGTACTTTGACAACTTCCCTGAATGATCTATTGGTATTAATTTGTCAAACTACATGAGAATAAATGATTTCTACTTTTATTTGATAGAAATTTTGTAAAAAAATGACTTTTCAGCCTACATGCCCAAAATTGAACTTTTTCAGTTGTTTCAATATTTTTACAAAAGTAGCATGCTTACTTTCTTTCTGACAGATTTTTCAGGTTTTCTATTTGTGTTTGTGGTATCTAATGTAGATGTTTAACTCATTTTTGAACACTGAACACAAAAAAAAAGTAGATAAAATCAGAATAAGAGTGCAAAATGTGCTGCTTTAATGGTCTTAGTCTAACGGTCAGTATGAAGCAAGTGAAAAATGAGGTTCTATGCACATACAAGTTCAATTCCTTTTAGTAGATTTCACTGAATCTGTATCAAAAGCACTTATTACTGGTTGTTTGGCCTTGTCTGTTTCACAGACTACCTTTGTTTTCTTTTGTTTGATAACTAGTGGTTAAAATATTGGCCTTTTGAGGCTGAAGTTTCATGCCGGTTTTAAAAAGTACAGTAAATAACTTTGCATCAGGCCATACTATCTACATTTATAGTTGGAAGTGACAGTCTTGTTACATCCAGGTTCCATGTTTTATCATATCTAAGTAAAGATTTGAGCAAAAAGAAGCATTATATCTCCATCTCCCATATTATTATATAATTTTTAATATGCAAATGTGGGGGCCACGGCCTAAATTGACAACCTGTTTTTTAAGCTTGACATTGCAGAAGACCATTTTATCCACATGTGTTCTGGTATTTGAAACTTATATTTCCATTAAAAGTACATTTATAACATGTAAAAGGTTTTCTTATAACTTAACAACTTCAGAAAATTGTGGTAAATGAAAAATATTACATTTCATATAAGGCCTCACTTCATTTGAAAACCTCTATTTTTTGGCACATGCTCATATAAAATTAACTTCTGGCCATTTTTTATAAGTCTGATACATTAAGTATGCTATCTGTTGCTTTTAATAGGTGATAACTTATACATAGAGACATTAAAAAGTGCAAGTTTTGGTATCTTTTGGTTTTTAGAAGCCAAAATTTGATAGTTGAAATTGTTCTAATTCAACGCCACAATTCAGCACCCAAAGTTCTGATATAAAAAATGCCACATTTTTTATAATTGGTATCATATGGCTTTGAAACTTTGTAAACTATTATATAATACACTAAGCTTAAATCATGTCAAGTTTTATTAGAATTGGTCAAGTTTTAGACCCCTAATAGGTGAATTCAGGAAATATTGAATTTGTACTTTGACAACTTCCCTGAATGATCTATTGGTATTAATTTGTCAAACTACATGAGAATAAATGATTTCTACTTTTATTTGATAGAAATTTTGTGAAAAAGTGACTTTTCAGCCGACATGCCAAAAAATTGAACTTTTTCAGTTGTTTCAATATTTTTACAAAAGTAGCATGCTTACTTTCTTTCTGACAGATTTTTCAGGTTTTCTATTTGTGTTTAGGTATCTAATGTAGATGTTTAACTCATTTTTGAACACTGAACACAAAAAAAAAGTAGATAAAATCAGAATAAGAGTGCAAAATGTGCTGCTTTAATGGTCTTAGTCTAACGGTCAGTATGAAGCAAGTGAAAAATGAGGTTCTATGCACATACAAGTTCAATTCCTTTTAGTAGATTTCACTGAATCTGTATCAAAAGCACTTATTACTGGTTGTTTGGCCTTGTCTGTTTCACAGACTACCTTTGTTTTCTTTTGTTTGATAACTAGTGGTTAAAATATTGGCCTTTTGAGGCTGAAGTTTCATGCCGGTTTTAAAAAGTACAGTAAATAACTTTGCATCAGGCCATACTATCTACATTTATAGTTGGAAGTGACAGTCTTGTTACATCCAGGTTCCATGTTTTATCATATCTAAGCAAAGATTTGAGCAAAAAGAAGCATTAAATCTCCATCTCCCATATTATTATATAATTTTTAATATGCAAATATGGGGCACGGCCTAAATTGACAACCTGTTTTTTAAGCTTGACATTGCAGAAGACCATTTTATCCACATGTGTTCTGGTATTTGAAACTTATATTTCCATTAAAAGTACATTTATAACATGTAAAAGGTTTTCTTATAACTTAACAACTTCAGAAAATTGTGGTAAATGAAAAATATTACATTTCATATAAGGCCTCACTTCATTTGAAAACCTCTATTTTTTGGCACATGCTCATATAAAATTAACTTCTGGCCATTTTTTATAAGTCTGATACATTAAGTATGCTATCTGTTGCTTTTAATAGGTGATAACTTATACATAGAGACATTAAAAAGTGCAAGTTTTGGTATCTTTTGGTTTTTAGAAGCCAAAATTTGATAGTTGAAATTGTTCTAATTCAACGCCACAATTCAGCACCCAAAGTTCTGATATAAAAAATGCCACATTTTTTATAATTGGTATCATATGGCTTTGAAACTTTGTAAACTATTTTATAATACACTAAGCTTAAATCATGTCAAGTTTTATTAGAATTGGTCAAGTTTTAGACCCCTAATAGGTGAATTCAGGAAATATTGAATTTGTACTTTGACAACTTCCCTGAATGATCTATTGGTATTAATTTGTCAAACTACATGAGAATAAATGATTTCTACTTTTATTTGATAGAAATTTTGTAAAAAAGTGACTTTTCAGCCGACATGCCAAAAAATTGAACTTTTTCAGTTGTTTCAATATTTTTACAAAAGTAGCATGCTTAACTTTCTTTCTGACAGATTTTTCAGGTTTTCTATTTGTGTTTGTGGTATCTAATGTAGATGTTTAACTCATTTTGAACACTGAACACAAAAAAAAAGTAGACAAAATCAGAATAAGAGTGCAAAATGTGCTGCTTTAATGGTCTTAGTCTAACGGTCAGTATGAAGCAAGTGAAAAATGAGGTTCTATGCACATACAAGTTCAATTCCTTTTAGTAGATTTCACTGAATCTGTATCAAAAGCACTTATTACTGGTTGTTTGGCCTTGTCTGTTTCACAGACTACCTTTGTTTTCTTTTGTTTGATAACTAGTGGTTAAAATATTGGCCTTTTGAGGCTGAAGTTTCATGCCGGTTTTAAAAAGTACAGTAAATAACTTTGCATCAGGCCATACTATCTACATTTATAGTTGGAAGTGACAGTCTTGTTACATCCAGGTTCCATGTTTTATCATATCTAAGTAAAGATTTGAGCAAAAAGAAGCATTATATCTCCATCTCCCATATTATTATATAATTTTTAATATGCAAATGTGGGGGCCACGGCCTAAATTGACAACCTGTTTTTTAAGCTTGACATTGCAGAAGACCATTTTATCCACATGTGTTCTGGTATTTGAAACTTATATTTCCATTAAAAGTACATTTATAACATGTAAAAGGTTTTCTTATAACTTAACAACTTCAGAAAATTGTGGTAAATGAAAAATATTACATTTCATATAAGGCCTCACTTCATTTGAAAACCTCTATTTTTTGGCACATGCTCATATAAAATTAACTTCTGGCCATTTTTTATAAGTCTGATACATTAAGTATGCTATCTGTTGCTTTTAATAGGTGATAACTTATACATAGAGACATTAAAAAGTGCAAGTTTTGGTATCTTTTGGTTTTTAGAAGCCAAAATTTGATAGTTGAAATTGTTCTAATTCAACGCCACAATTCAGCACCCAAAGTTCTGATATAAAAAATGCCACATTTTTTATAATTGGTATCATATGGCTTTGAAACTTTGTAAACTGTTTTATAATACACTAAGCTTAAATCATGCCAAGTTTTATTAGAATTGGTCAAGTTTTAGACCCCTAATAGGCCCAAGACCACAATTAATGACCCCGCTTTTCGTTGTCCACGAATATAGTTCCTTTTAATTAGAGTGTATTTTTTCTTAATTTTTTTTCTTTCCCTTCCTCACTCATTTCTTAGTTTTTTTTGGGGTGGAAATGAAAGAAGAGAGGTGAAATAAACTTTTGGATGTTGTATTTTAACTGATTTTGATATGGAAAGTGTGAGTAGGACAGGTGCAAAAAGGTGATATTTACAGTTTTAGGAACATCTCTTGACTTGTCCATAGGGGTATGGATGTGTATTGGCTAAATTTGTAAGAGTGATTGGTTCAATCTTTCTGAATTTTGGATATATTTTTGGACTAGTACTATACATTACACACACAAAAGATTTGACAAAAATGCATGGTGCAATTTAAAAAAAAAAAAAAAAACGTTATAAAGAACTATATATAGAGGAATTTAATTGTGGTCTGTGGCCAGTATCAATCGACACAATTTGAGCAAGAGTTACTTCCCTTTTGTCATCATGATTGAGGTCTTTGTGCAGAAATTCTTTCATAAATCAACCAAATTCAACTTGTTATACTGACCACTAGACCTTATAAAAAGTTGTTTTCTGAACAATGTATATTTCTTTTTGCTTGATTCATCACTATGATCTAGTAAAGATCTCTGATTAGACTTGTTTGATCCTCAGGTTTCAAATTGGTTTGTCAAATAAGAAAATCAAGCATTTACTCCTCCAAAATGGGGACCAAGGAAAATACCTCAAACTCAAATTAGGTCATATTGAAACCTATCTGTAGTAAAACCTTTCTGAATCAAACCTTGTATAAAAACAGAAACCTGTGTAAACTGAACATTTGTATTGGAACCTACTGTGAATATTATCAGTTAGTAATTCAACCTTTGTAAACATAACACCTGTCTAATCTGAACAAAATCATCAGTCCCAAAGGAGTTAGGTTAGTAATTCAACCTTTGTAAACATAACACCTGTTTAAACTGAACAAAATCATCAGTCCCAAAGGAGTTAGGTTTCGACAGGTATGTAATTAAATATGATAAAACTAGTTTTACATGAGATTTCCCCTTTTTTCTGTAGCCAAAGCCAGTTAAACCATTGGATCCTGTGAAGGAATTATTTATGAAACATGCCACTGAAGATGGACATATTTATGCAAAAGAATTAAAACATTTTCTTAGAGAATTGTCTGCATCAGGTAAGGTATAGAGGGAAAAGACAGAAATCAGTTATAGAATGTTAATGGTCTGTTTTCTAGTGGGTTTTTTTTTTTTAGAGTTGTTGGAGTTTTGTCCCAAAATTCATATAGTTAGGATAAAAATTGCATTTGTTCTTATACATATGTACTTACTAAAAAAATGCACATATATATACTTACTCTAAAAATGCACTTATATATACTGACTCCAAAAATGCCCCTTAAGTATTTGTAATATTTTTCAATGAATTTGTATAACGGTTATTGTGGTGCACTTGAGAGATGATTGAATAATAAACATCATCAGGCCATACTCTGGTTTGGTAAGCAAATTACACATGAAATTTTCATATCATAAATAAACTAACAGGGTAACCAGTCATTAAAAGGTAAATTTTTCCCAAGGAACTTTGTTTTAGCTTTATTGAAGGGATCCACTTAATGGAAAAAGTTATGAAAAGTAACAGAAAGGTGACAGACTTCTCAAAACATTCATATATTAAAGGAACAACTCTTATATTCCTGTTCTTCATCTTTACTGTAAAGGAAAGTTTTGAATGATGAAGTTAAAAAACTGAGGAGAAAGATCAATATGATTTGTTCATGAAGTTTTCTGACATATGCAGGTACGAATGTATACCACAAGAATATCTGGTGATACATTCCTACTTGTTTTGTCAATACAGTATTATGTTTTCATATTCAAATGGATGTTTATATTATATTACTGAAGCCAAGCTTATATGTTGGTAAAATATGAATAACGGTGTCTTTTTTTTACAGAATTTGGAGAAGCCATATTGTTTAGTTTAGAGGCATCTAGATCCCTGGTTACACTGATGGATGTATCTTTTTTTGTTTAAAATAGTGGGCAAAAGTTATTCCAGATGTCTGCAGAAACTATGTCTGAGGGTCTGGATGGGGTTTACAGAATAGAGAATAATGGACAAAAGTGCAGAATAAAGGGCAAAAAATATAAAGAAATAAAGAAAAATAGGACAAAAAAATAAAGAATAGAGAATAATGGGGTGCTTAGTTATATAGAATAGAGGATAATTGGCAAAAAATACAAAGAATAGGGAAAAATGACCTAAAAAATTAAAGAATACAGAAATGAAGGACACCCATCCAGACCAAGGCTTCCAAAACGGTCATATATTCCGGACATTTGTATAATGTCCGGTAAAAGTCCAGCTGGGCAAAGCATGAAACGGTCATCTACTTTTTAGCTTTCAAGGCTTTCTTAAGAGACGTCCATTTTAACATAATTCGCGATCTTTTTGACCCAACCTTTTGCCTTTAACAGCCACACATTTCCGGTCATAAAAGTGACATGATCATTAAGTACTATCAAAACAACCCCTACTTTAATACCTTCTCATTTTAATCAAGGCTAATTAGTTGTCGAACAGCTGAAATTTACCTGTTCAGGTGACAGGTAAACTATTTTGAACCGGACATTGATCGGTCTATTCAAAGTTATTTTCTTACATTTCACCGGTTTGCATCTAATTAATTTAGTCAAAAAGATTTAAATTATCAGAAATACATTTACAAATATGATTTGATGAAAAAAATTAAAAAGGTGAAAATGAAAAATAGTCATAACCACGTTGTTTGAACCAGAGACATGTCTCTGTTTAAACTAGTACACGTGTGCTCATGTGCGCAGGTGTGACATTTAATTATGGATCCTAATTTCTTCAAAAAATGCTTAAATTGTCATTGATACCTTTATCTCACGTTTATTTCGAATATTTTCTTGAAGAAATAACGTAGAAAGAGCTACTAACACTCATTCATGCTTTGCAAACGTACACAGAATTTACGTATCCGTCTCTGGTCCATGTTTTACCATGGTCAAGATAACATCCAGTATTAGATTTAAAAAGGAAAGTAAAGTTTTTGACAACGTTATTTTGCACAAATAAAGAGTCTAAGGCAGATATAAGTACGCTGATGTTGCACACTTCGAATGATGCACTGCCAATTTAACAGTTTACGTCAGAACTTCTAATTTGAATCAAAGAAAGTTTAATATCGTTTTTTTTTAATGTCAATCATTGGGATGGCCAACTCGGTTACTGATTACCATAATTGCCTTTTGTTTATTTAGTCTTAAGGGATTAAAATCGGGATAATATATAAAATGTCCGGCTGGCTAAAAATAATTTTGGAAGCCCTGATCCAGACCCTCATGTCTCTGTTCTTACCCATTGTTTTTGACCAAGATTAGACATAGTTGGATTTTACTTACCGTATATTGTTAAAAGAAATTATTTTTGTTGTGCACTTCTTTTTTTGAGCTACATACCAAAGTGCATCTAAGTAATGGCCTGATTTCTTGTACTCTGATGAACGTCATTTTAAAGAGATTAAATGTGCTGGGCTTTGTATCACTATATAAGTAAATTGTATTTGAATGCAAGATAAAAAAATTGCAACCATGAACAATAATTTAGAAAGTTGTTATCCTTAACATAAATTCAGAGAAATCGTTCTGGTGCACTGAATTTTGGTGAAGTTGTAAAAGGATGGAATGAAATTAAAGCTTACAAGGTTATATTTACATCATTATGTACAGTAGTTGTGTATCTATGATTAACATTTACAGGACAAGAAATGTGAAAAAAATCCTGTTGACTGTCGTTTCATTATTATTCATTGGGTTCTAATTTTTGAAGATGGATGAAGTACAAATTCAAATGTTCAACTGCAAAAAATTCCTGTAGGCTTGTATAATTTTTTTTAAAACCATATCCTAGTATCCCATAAAGTACAAATCAACAAAAATTGGTACTCTAAAAAAATAAGTAAATCTACTGTAATATAAAAGGTGCTGTGATAGCGATTGAGACAACTATATATCCATCAAGCACTAAGGGACGAGAAACTGGATATCTACACATCTACAGGTTACTAACTGCCTCTAAAATACCAAAACATAAGATTTACTATCAAAGACATTGGGTTAATCAAAAGCATAATTTAAAGAGTCAGAGTGAACATAATAGAGCCTATCCCCTGATGGTAATGGCAAACACTAGTTTCTGTACAAACACCTTTAGTATATGGTAGTGTTAAATATCCCCTGATGGTAATGGCAAACACTGGTTTCTGTACAAGCACCTTTAGTATGTGGTAGTGTTAAACATACTGGTGAGTGCTGAATGCTTTTTCTTAACCTTGAACAGTGAATTTACAATAAATTCAAATATCAGTATTTTTATGGTAAAATATTCACTGGATTTGTATAAATGGAAAAGAACCTATAAAAAAACACAATAAGGAAAGTTTGAGATGTTTAATGGTAACCAAAACACAAAATTGAAATTCATGATCTGTTTGAGTTGTGACCTCCATAGCTATAAAGATCAGAACTACAACTCTCGAGTGCATTGAACAAAATCTATCTCCATTTGTTGCACATCTTACCCCTATTCACTGACAGGAAAAAATTATACAAATTTTTGGAATTGAGCACATGGAACCTTTATATTCAATTTCAAAATTATCTGGACTTGTTCCTTATTTTTCTTTCATTGAAAAATTAGAATCTGTTACATTAGTGCATGATTTATGAATAGGATTCATATATGAGGGAGGTTGAAATTATGTATAGATGGTATTTTATTTTTACAGAAAATATTTGAGCAGTTTGACAAGGATGGGACTGCCAGTGTAGATACATATGAACTAAGCAAACTTTTCAGTGCTTTAGGTAGGTTTTCATCAGTGTATTATTATGCATGCATTTTTATATAGATAATGGAACTATTTTTTTTATACTGATATGCTATATTAGTCAAAGTAGATATGCTATATCCTTTCTTTTCAAATTATCACATAATTATCTTTATCCTCAAACCTTTTGATAGGTTTCCTCATTATATTTTTACCCTAAGTTATTCTGATAGTCACACTTTTTGTCGTTTAAAACAATTTTCGTTTCCTGTCCCAATATTGAAATTGAAATTAATTTTCATTAAAATGTATTTAAAAAAGGAGGAGACAATGTGAAAATATTAAAATAAATGTCAATAATAAAATGTATTATACCATTGTGTAATAATTAAATAATCCAGGTCCATATGTAGGTGCTGGTAAGTGAATTATTTTTCTGTTGTTAGCAAGCATGGATGTACAAGTATTCTAGACATATTGTACAACATAGGCACACTTAGGATGCTTGACATTGCTTTCAGTTGTTGATAGATCTGTGTTAATTAATTATAGTTTTGTAAAATACAGAGTATATATTCAAATCTTCAGCTTATCAATATGCAATAACAATATTAAAAGTATTTATGCACCAGAATATCTTATTTTTCTTATAAACATGATAAAGTTCTAAATGTTATTTAAAAGTTATCCACCTGCTTGAAATGGAATGAAATTTGCAAGTTTTATATCTATAAATGATATGTATACCTATATCAGTTTCGGTTTGCATAACAGTGAAATTATTAACTTTGAAATAGAAAACCCAACTCCTATCTTTATACTAAAATGTTATATAATATTTATTTAGATGTATTTGAAATCTTCAAGAGTTTTCCCACTTCCTTCACTAATTTTAATAAAAGATTTTAATTAGATGTTTACCTGATTGGCTTGCAAGTTCACTGCACTTTTCAAACTTCAAATTATTCACCTTCTCTGTCCTGCCTTTCATTCTTCGGACTTCCAATTGCCCAACAAACATTTCAGTCACACTTTTATCAAGTACTACATATAACAGAAAGGCTTAATATTTGGTCAGCAGCTTTGCAGGGATGAGTTGTAACATGTGAGCACTTTTCACATCTGTCAGACACCTACTTCATATTTGGTTATACATGTACTAAGAATTTTTCAAAAGGTTGAATGAACTTATAATTTTTGTCACACTTTTTTCAAGTACTAATGAACAGAATGATTTCATATTTAGTCAGCTGCGTATCAGTGATGATTTGTAAGGTGTGAGGGCTTTTCGATCTGTCAGACACCTTCTTCATGTTTTCCAATACATTGAATTAAGAGTGGGGGTATGCTCATCACAACAATGTGTGCATTCTAATGTTAGTTTAGGTTTTGATTTTAGTTCTTTTTGAAGGTGTAAATTTGGATTTTGGAGCAAATAAAAAGAATATTTTAAAACAATTTCTTCGGGAACAGACATCAAGAAATGAATTGTGATCAATATTTTTCCTTTTTTAGGGGTTAATATATTTGATAAATGAATTCGCCATTTCAGAATCTAATGCATTCTGGGTAATATTTTCAAAAGCATACACCAAAACATTGTGATTGGTTTAAAATATTCTAAACAATGGAAATTCAACCAAGGACGTAACCTGGTTTTCATTTTGGTGTACGAACAATGAAATTACCCATAGTCCTTTAGATTATGAAAAGGCGAATTGGTGAGTGGTATCTTTTCAAGATTTTTTTTTAAGTAAAGAGGATGAAATTTATTTGTTGGATACATATTAAAGAATGGTTGAACTTTTCTTTTTAAAAATGCAGAGAACTAAAGCAAATTTGTGTTGCCTTGAATTTTTCTTCATTTTAATTATTAATTTGTTGTAGATAATACATTGATCTAGTATACATCTTTTCCAGCTTTTAAACATTTATATTACTTCCGTTTTAGGTTTTACTGTAAACAGACAGGTACAGATCGCCATTGTACGTCGCTATGGAAACAGGAACAATAAAATCAGACTGACAGATTTTTTGATAGTGATCTTTAAACTCACATTAATGTTTGGTAAATATCTTTTAGTTTATACATATTTTATTGTTCATAAACTATACAAATGGATGAGACATAAGTTTTATAACTTTGTAATGTCTTTTTCTGGTAAATATATCTTTTGATCTCCTTTAATTCACATTTTCATTAAAGATTAATGAAACTAGATTACAGTTAATCTTACTGGGTCTTTTAAGTGATGACGTTTCACATTTTGTCCCTGACTGAGCCAAACTTAAAGAACTGAGTCAGATTTTTAGGTCTTCTGTGAAGCAAACATCTAAACATATCAAAGCAGATTGGCCTAACGGGTAATTATAACGACTTGTAGATTTGTTGATTTCAGACCAAGTAATGTAGATATTTTTATTTTCAAAACAAATACTGTTACACAGTATGGTATTCTATATTGTATAACCATTGTAAATGGGTTTAAATGTAAATAGAATTGTATGTATTCATTAAGTCCATTAATCCAGTTTTAGGAGTTGACCAAAAAGACAGTAAATTCTTGCAATTATGTTCTTTTCAAGGATGTAGCAGAAATAAATGTAAAAAGTTTTTGAAAGAGTTTTTTTTTAATCCTCTTTCTTTAAAATAAAATTGCAGTTTTATTGTATAAACATATTTTCTATACAGGTATCTCATCTTTAATGCACCCCCTTGACAGTAGTATTCTATTTAAAGCACCTCAAAATGTATACATAAATAAAAAGATAAGTACTTCATCAAAAAGACAGGAATCCAACCATACACAAGTTAGAAGAAAAATGAACATCTATACATTATCATATAACCTTTTAAAACTAAATACTATATTGAAAGCTTTTGGTTATATATGAGTCATAAATTCTGAAACATTCATTGTTTTTTTTGTTATGCATGTTGCATTGCCTGCATTTGAGTCAAGTATTTAATGAGTATGTTTTTGCTTGAAGATTATCAAATGAAACCTTTGTATTGTAGAAATTCACTTATTTCAACATATTTTTATTTTATTGTAGAGCTATTTAAGGAACAGCAGTTGAAAACCGGTGGTAATAATGATGCTGCTTCATTCACCTTAAATGAAGTAAGTTTCAATGTTAAAAAATTCAGATAAAAGTGATGAAAATTCAATCTTGCTAGCACTTGTCCACTTATTCAATCAAAATTAAAATATTTATCTATTCTACAAAAGGGTAAGTCCCTTGTTACAAATGTTAACCTACCTTTGTTGTACTTAAACTAAAATCGTGAAATTTGAAATCGTAAATTCCTTCCTGAGCAGCTTTAAATTGAAGATTTTTCTTGATTCTTTTAATAAGTGTGATTTTCAATTAGTTTCATAAACCAGTGAGTGTTTACATAATTATTTAAAAACAAAGGAATTGCAGAAGCAACAAATACTTGAAGAAATATCTTTTCTCTTTTTCAGTATCTCTACTACACAATGTACTGCTGACCAACTGACAGACCACATCAGAAATCCTAGAAGCTAACTCTACGAATAACATTACAATGAATTTTTTTTGTACAATGACATTTTCTAGAAATGGCAGCAAGTTTTAAGCTTATTTTTTTACAGCCTGTCTGTGTGTGTTATTGTCATCACTTAGTATCCATTGTTACATCTTACATAGATTCTTAAAACTCTTCTCCAGACTCTTGGTCTATTTAAGACTACTGCGTGTCCCAGATACCTCATAAAGTATTTTTTTAAAGAAAAAAGCTAACATTTGATTTCGGTTTATGTATACCTAAGAATAAGATTCTTGGTATTTTTGATGCAAACAAAATGGAGGAAAATAGTTTTTCAAGGAAAGAAATTTTATTTTCTTTTAGTTATGCTTTTATCTTGTATTTTGTTGTAAATACAATGCACCTTTCCGTGTAACAGTTTTTACCGTGGACCAATTAGGCTATTTCCTCACTTTTTATCTTTCATTTACTTCTTCGGCTTTTTGAAAATCTTCTTGATTCATTGCCAAGGATTTTGATCAAATGAATTATTCTTAAGGTATTCCTTACCAACATTATATATATTAAACTGCCCTCTTACCAGTGCTCTTAAACTGTCATTACCATCAATAGTACATGCCATGGGTGAAACCTTTACAATGACTGGACAGTGGTCTGATGTCCATAAAACTTGATAGGATTTTATTCTTGGTATTTATGTTCATTGATCTGTTGGTCTATCATCGAAGAGTATTTGAGTGTTACAGGCTCATTAAAACCTTTTAGAATCTCTTTATCCTGCTTATACAATGTATTATTATATTAAATTTTTGTCACAATTTTAATTTCTGCAATAATGAATGTAGCAATAGGTGTAACTTTTAAATGAAATACAATGAATTTTCATTGAATATTTTATATGCATGATTTATAAAGGGAATGTACATTTATTTGTCAAATTTTTATTTTCTTTTTTAATTAAAGTATGTTATTGTTTTGTCTTGCAGATTTATTATTCAAGCAGGCATAGCTTAGCAACACATTGAGTTTGATGAAACATTCACATATACTTTCCTACACAATGCCATTGTCCACTACCTTTTCTATTATTAATTAAAACATACTTTTGGGATTAACATAGCAAACCATCTTTGCTAGCCAAGGGTTAAGTTCAGCCCCTGGGAAGAGGAGTTGACAGGATCATAACACTTGGCTAGCAAAAGATGTAGAAAACCATAGGGGTAGGTATTTTGTATCTGTAACTCCAACTAACCAAATGACTAGATTTATATGAAACATTCATAGAATCTGTCTTAAACAAGAATGCACATGTTGTCGTGCTAGACATACACAATTTCATAATCTAAAGTATCAGAAAACAGGGAGTAGGTGTCTGACAAGATCTGAAAAACACACACACCTTACAATTCATCACTGTAGAGCTCCTGACCAAATATGAAGTCTCTCTGTTTAGCAGTATGAGAGAAAATAAAATGCTCCGCTGGGCGCAGCTTGATACGACCGCAGAGGTCGAACCTTGAACAGTTGGGGCAAGTATGGACACAACATTCAAGCTTGATACAGCTCTGAATTTGGATTGTGATTAAATATTTGACACAGCATAGGTTTCTGACACAGAATGAATGTGGTCTAAGAACTTAAATTTTTTTAATTTACCTATTATGGTCCAATATCCAAAATCTAAATACATGGTTAGAGTCAGCATATCAAAGAATCCAAAGAATTCAATTTTTGATGAAATCAAACAAAGTTTAATTTTGGACCCTTTTGAGCTCAATGTGGACCAATTTGATAACGGGGCCCAAAAATCAAAATACATGGTTAGATTCAGCATATCAAAGAACCCCATATATTCAATTTTTGTTGAAATCAAACAAAGTTTAATTTTGGACCCCAACTTGGACCAACTTGAAAACTGGACCCATAATCAAAAATCAAAACACATGTTTAGATTCAGCATATCAAAGAACCCCAAGAATTCAATTTTTGTTAAAATCAAACTAAGTTTAATTTTGGACCCTTTGGACCTTAATGTAGACCAATTTAAAAAACGGGACCCAAAACTAAAAATAGAAATACACGGTTAGATTTGGCATATCAAAGAACCCCAATAATTCAATTTTTGCTGAAATAAAACAAAGTTTAATTTTGGACCCTTTGGACCTCAATATGAACCAATTTGATAGTGGGGCCCACAAATAAAAAATCTAAATACATGGTTAGATTCAGCATATCAAAGAACCCCATATATTCAATTTTTGTTAAAATCAAACTAAGTTAAATTTTGGACCCTTTGGACCTCAATGTAGACCAATTTGATAACGGGGCCCAAAAATCAAAATACATGGTTAGATTCAGCATATCAAAGAACCCCATATATTCAATTTTTGTTAAAATCAAACTTAGTTTAATTTTGGACCCTTTGGACCTTAATGTAGACCAATTTAAAAAACGAGACCCAAAGTTAAAAATCTAAATACACGGTTAGATTTGGCATATCAAAGAACCCCAATAATTCAATTTTTGATGAAATAAAACAAAGTTTAATTTTGGACCCTTTTGACCTCAATATGAACCAATTTGATAGCGGGGCCCACAAATAAAAAATCTAAATACATGGTTAGATTCAGCATATCAAAGAACCCCATATATTCAATTTTTGTTGAAATCAAACAAAGTTTAATTTTGGACTCCAACTTGGACCAACTTGAAAACTGGACCCATAATCAAAAATCTAAACACATGTTTAGATTCAGCATATCAAAGAACCCCAAGAATTCAATTTTTGTTAAAATCAAACTAAGTTTAGTTTTGGACCCTTTGGACCTTAATGTAGACCAATTTGAAAACTGGACCCAAAATTAAAAATCTAAATACAGGGTCAGATTTGGCATAACAAATAAATAAATGTGGTCAAAGATTTTACAAATCTAATGTGCCATACTGTGCAATTAAAGATTACTTCTTGAAATTTTTCAATATTTGAAATTTGAAAAAAAAATAATATTTGAAGAATAATTCTTTTTAATTTCTGAAATCTGAAATGAGAAAAAATTGACCCCCCACAATTTCTTTTTATCCCCCCCCCTCAATTCTTTCCCTCAAGATATGGTCATAATCTAAATTCAAATTTCCAATGGAATTTGCAACCATAATTACCCATTTAAATTTACCATAGTGCTAACTTAATTTATTTTAAAAAAGAATTTAAAGTATGGTGTCAAATCTTTCATATGGATTTTTTTGTAAAAAAAAAAAAGATGCAACATTTGCAGATATTTTTACTGGTCTTCCTTTATAAATATGCATTTCTTTAAACATAATTTAAAAGCAGTGTAAGGGAAGTAATCAAAGGGTTGTATGTGGATTACCTCCCTTACACTGTTTTAAATTGTCTTAATTGTTCATTAACCATTACTTTATACATAGTTTAAAAGCAGTGTAAGGGAGGTAATTCAAATGATGTATTTGATTTATCTCCCTTACACTGCTTTAAATTATGTTTTGTACTAAAGTATTTGTCCATATAAAAATGCTTGTTTTTTGCCCCTTTTATGGCCCCTAATTCCTAAAATTTTGAGGCAATTACCCCCAAAATCAATCCCAGCATTCCCTTTGTGATATGGAACCTTGTGGTACAATGTCAGAGAGATCCATACACTAACACACAAGTTATGTCTGGAAGTTACAAAAATGCTTATTTTTGGCCCCTAATTCCTTAACTGTTGGTACCATAACCCCCAAAATCAATCCCAACCTTCCTTTTGTGGTATTGAACCTTATGTTAAAATTTCATAGAGATCCATTCACTTAAACTAAAGTTAGAGTGCGAAAACCAGTGTGTCTTCGGACGACGACAACGACGACGACGCCAACATCATACCAATATAAGATCGCAAAAATTTTTTTGCGGTCGTATAAAAATTAAGATTAATTCTTCACATAGAACTGAGTACAAGACTGATTTTTTGTTTTAGAAATTTCCTCTTTAACTAACTTCTCATAGTGGTGTTAAATACTGATAGATTGATTATTGCTTGCTTAACATACAGTGGCATATATTTCATGCATATTTAGGACGAGAATAAATTTACAATTAAAACAATAGGTAAGTCAACTGGGATGAAAAGAGGGAAATTTATGACTGATTTACAAAGAAAATGTGGATTTGTTGGATAGGGGCAGAAATTTTGCAATGCATGGACCCATCAGAGAGATGTTTGAGATCTTTAACATCCAAAGAGTGCGGCATTCACCATTTGTGAGATATCAGATTTAACATCCCTATTTCCACAGGATGTGGCTGTGTATTTATAATCCTGCACAGCTAAAAGGATGCCCACCTTAAGCAAATATTTTACTGCAGGAAGGCAGAGTTCAGAGATTATCATATTTCTATAATCCAGTCAACACTTGGGGTAATTAAATAATGAACCCACATTATGTTTGTACTATGGCAAATAACAATTGTAACATTTTTAGCAACAATTTATTATTACAGCATATTTTGCATAAAACTTTATGAAAATATTTTTTTTTTTCAAAATGAAGAACAAAATAACATTTAAAACAAGTAAAGCTATCATTACAAACTAGCACTGTAACAAATATACAAACTAGAAATACTGTCTTTTCATGTGGTACAGTTTGCCTATTCTGAAGACAAATAGGAATGATAATATACTGTTTACTGGTACAAAATGTTGTTGATTACAAATACAAAAACTATATGTTAAGCCATTTAAGATTTTATAAGTCCATGAATCCACAATGTGAATCAAACAAAGGATACCAGAAGCCTGTATGACTCATCTGACTTATAAAAAAATTTCACACAGGCTTCAAAGGAAATGTATTTTGCAAATGATTAGAAAAGATGTTTGCTGTAAAAGTTTATTCAATCTGACCGGTCTTCAGAATAAAATTACAAAAGAATATTGTTTTATATTATAGACAATAATCTCTGGTTGTCCTTGTTATAGAGAGTATAATCCTTGTGAAAAAACAAAATTGTGCTATTTAATGTCAAAATAAAAATCTTAAATTAACTTGGAAAACTGCATTCAACAACAGTTTTATGATAAAAATTTAATACAAAATATATGCTTTAACATACGTTGCTCATATGCCCTAATTTTATAAATAAATAAAACAAAAAACTAAATATATACAAATATGTATCATATATATTTGATATCAACAATAATAAAAATAGTTCATGACACCTGCTGACTACATACCAGCAAACTCTGAATGAAAATGAACTAGTGTAATAACTTAAATGGATTTAGCCTTTAAAATCAAATAATAAAATGAATAACCTTTCTAGAACTAAGGTACTATTACCCTTCTTCTCTCATTTAATGAAAACATTACCCTTTATTCTAGTCCACTATAATTTAATGTTCCCTTTTCTTCTTCCAATCAAATTATCAATTACATGTACAATCAAAATAAGTTTACAAAAACTCCATGGCTAATAAGCAGTTAACTTGTGAACATACCAACTACTCCTTTATCTACTAAACATTTAATCCAGGGCAATTGTCAACATACCAGCTACTCCTTCCTTCATCTACTTTACATTTAATCCAGGATAATAAGAGACATTTTAAACAGCTGAATCTTTGAACATATTTTTTTTGATGCAATGCTATTTGAACTGAAAAAAGAATATTGATATCACAAAGTTATTGGATAAACTGAAATGTTTTCCTGTTTAAGATGGGTCTGCCAAGCACTGTTAATTGCAAGGCATGAACATATTTCATATTATAAAATGGCATGCTGTAACATCAAACGAATAAAGCCATGGTAAAATACCCAACAATGACCACCACAAACAATGACCTCACAAGTTTGGGAATTGTCCATTGCAAAGTGAAAGCAGATTACTTTTTACATGTAGCTGAAAAATTTATGGAAACTTGTGCTTTGTATTTCATTTTACAATAGAATAGGTCTTGGTGAAGCAATTTCATATCTCAATCTAATATGCTAAGCTTATTGTAAAATTTGTTTAACACATGTATAAACAAGAATGTGTCCATAGTACACAGATGCCCCACTCGCACTATCATTTTCTATGTTCAGTGAACCGTGAAATTGGGGTCAAAACTCTAATTTGGCATTAAAATTAGAAAGATCATATCATAGGGAACATGTATACTAAATTTCAAGTTGATTGGACTTCAACTTCATCAAAAACTACCTTGACCAAAAACTTTAACCTGAAGCAGGACAGACGGACTGATGAACGGACAGACGAACGGACGCACAGACCGAAAAACATAATGCCCCTAGGTGGGGCATAAAAATTTCCTTGCAGACTGGCCTACCCATGGATTATGTTTGTCTACTAATCCCTGATTTAAATACCCTGCTTTTTTCCTCAACCATCTGGATGATTTTCTGATTTATGAAAATTGAAAATTCAGGTATAGAAAAAAAAAAAAGCATGGACTTCTCAAACATAATGAAAAGAAAATAATGAAATGAATAATCTTTTCAAAATGTTTTACATTTATGAGATGAAAAGTATTTCAAATATTAAAAAATGAATTGCTTTCAAAATATATTGAACACACATTACGGAAATGAAAAACATAGCAAGAATATGGACGGATGTGAAATAAAATACTGAAATATAAACTTCATCTTTGTAGCAGGTAATTATGCTAGTGAGAGACAAAAAACCTATTCTTAAATTATTCACCTCATCAGCTTTGGAATGAAATGTATGAGCTTTAATGGAAATGGTCTACATACATGATTCTTAAATGAAAATGACAACTAATATATACCTGCATTCATTCTTTGTTCCTCTATTCCTAACATTACTTGATCCCTTATAACAGAAATCAATGAACATTTTCACAGCAGTATTTGACTTCAAAACGACTGATATACAGAATTTATCACACTCTATTTGCTAGAATTTATTTTTAAATTCATGGTTTTCTTATACCATCACTAAATAATACCCACCAAAGTTTAAAAATCAATATGTGACACTCTACTGCTGTAAAAATATCATAAGATTTCCTTGTTGTGTGGTACATGGCACAAGACACTAAAGACAATTAAAATGGCACTCCTTCTTACATTTTCGATGTCAAGTTTGCATTATGATGTTTTGCTAGTATTTTTTATTACCTGTGTACAAGTAATGGCCCAATATGAAATAATTTTCAAATGGAATTCAATTCAATTGTAACTATATATATGCATTTTAGCAAATGACCTTAGGTTAAGTCACTATATTTATTAAATAAATAGTTAATCTGTCAGTTGTTTAAAAGGATATCCTTTTTCTTGGTACATATATTTGACTAGCAGTTTAAAAATCAACACATCATATTCAGATAACTCTCTCTCAATCTGAAATCCCATCTTGCATGTTTAAATTCATTTACAAAAGAAAATAACATCAAAAGAAACAAAAACAACCTTACAAGTTACAGAGACAATCAAAAGCATTATATTGTTTTCACTAATATTTGTTCCCTTTAGTTGTGCAATGTAAGAAGTGCTTTCATTTAAGTACCCAATCACACCATTTTCAGCCTGTGCCCAAAAACCTTAATATGTACTAGCCAGAAAGCTCTTTTCAAGAAATCACTTTTATATTTCTTATAAATTTTTTAAAAATTTTCCATTAGCTCAAGCAAATGCATACTATTCATAGTCCTAGGGCTAGTGGTTTTTGGCACAAACTGCATCTTTGTTTGGCTATAACACATGAATATTAAAGCTTATATACTCTGTAAACTACAAACTAAAATCTTTCTTTTATATGCAGTTGACAATTGATTAAATACGGGTTATACACAGTTCTTAGCTGCCTACAACAAAACAATCACAGCCTTCATGTAACAAATTCATATCACACAATAACTTTTATTTGTGCCCAATCACATTTGTCTCCAAAATAACCAATCTTAAACAATCAGCATCCCTTAATGATCATCATATACAACATTATCATGCACTTGAAAAATACAATTATTTTTCTTAAAAAGGGGGACCCCATATTACCATTGCCTTAAAGATGTTCATTGCTCTTGTTTTTAACTTTTTGTCAGATATTTGGAATCCACTGGTTTTATCCATATAGTGCAATAAAAACATGTGCCCGCTAATCCTCACTTTCCTTTTCATAGTTTTATTACATATAGTTATATAGTTTTAAAAAGTCATTTTTGAAAATCATATAAAATCTTTGTTATTTTTTTCATAGTTTTTGAAAGAAAAAAGGTATCAATGCTAAATGTATGAAAAATCTAGAGAGAATCATTTCCCGCCAAATTTTCATTGGTTTATATCTCAAAAACAAGAATACGGACCTATAATTTTTTTCTGATTTTTGAATTCCGTTATTTATATTCTAATTATTTATAGCACCCGTTAAAAAGGTTGTTATTTTGAAACAGAGCAGCAGACATCTTTAAATTTCATAAATAATATTTAAAAAAACGTTCAATAGTGAAGAAATATTGCTTCTGTAAGGATAATAATGAAATTATTACAGTGCCTGATTGTTAAAGCAGACAAAGATATTCTCATTAAATAAGTTTCCCTTGTTTACTAATTCTTTTGGCCAAATGGAATCAATTAAAAATACATCACTAAGGTCTTATTTCCTTACACGTCACCTTTTATAAAATAAAATCTTGTTGATGTACTGGCTATGATATATAGTGGGTGTGTGATACATATTCATCTGACATAAAGCACCATTACATTTTTCAAATTACATTTAAACACATTAACAACCTTACCAAAAGATTCCCTGTATCTTTCAACTTCATATAAATTCCCCAACATTATTGATTATATTTCATCAAACACAGGCTACATAATTTACTGAAACATTTTTCTCAGATTTTTTTGTTCATGTTTGAAGTGGACTCAGGAAAACGTTATAGTAAACATTCACTGCAGATAAACAGACCTATTGCAAAGTTAAGATAAAACAAAACTTGATAAAAATAGCCACATTTCAAAAATATTTTTGGCATAAAAATACAAGAATCTATTTTCTCCTCTTCCTTAATGATGCTACAAATCTAATGATAAAAATATACCATTTTACATGTAAATAAAAATGTTAACATATATATATATATATATATGGATCCAAAGATTAGATATTGCCTGAATAGATTACGATGCCTACAAATTTCTTTCTTTAAACACTATTTTCCTTAAATTACAATATCACAGCTAAGTGTAAACAATTTGCCGACTCATACAAACATCTCGTCAAAATAAAACTTCCTTGGCTATTTTTCAAAGCAATGTTGATATATATATATAATGTCTTTCTGTATCTCTGATATCATATCAAAATGTGCACTATTCTGACAGATCTGATAATAATGTGTCACTAGCATTTACAAATGTTTCCAACAATGATCGATACTAATACTTCTAACACTGAGTAAACAAGATGAGAACACTTTTACAAATGACTTTGGTCAAATGAGAATCTCATCATCAAAGTTTCCAATATAACATTTGTATCCTTTGTGTTGAATTGTACATAACAGACTTGTGTCACGTGTAACTGGAACATTAATGCCATTAATCCTACTACAACTAGCGTTAAAGGTAATGCTATAAATCTGATGAGGGTTGGTATTTTGATATGAGTGCATCCAGCAGTTTTAATTTGGCTTTGATTTGCTGAAAAAAAGAATTGATTATCATGTATTTATTTTTATTCTTTATCAAGTGAATGATGAAAAGTTAAAAAAGGAATGTTTTAAATTTAACCTCAGAAATCAATTGATTACTTGTAATTTTACAGAAAAGAAAACAAGTTACTTAAAAATTTGTAAAAGGTTCCATGAATACCAATGTCATGGAACCCATTGTAATGGAACCCTATGTCATGGAACCCTATGTCTTGCCTGTGTTCACTGTAATTAGTGTTATATTGGGATGTTTATCATTTGTAATTTTTCCTATATTTCATTTTTAAGGAAAATTTTAAATGGGTAAGGATTACCAATTCTAAAAATATGGACTTCAGATGCTTTCTCTTAAATATGTAGCAGCTTCAGTCCAAGTTTCTTAAAATTCAATGAAGGTTTGATAAGGTTATTTATATGTAAAAAAAACCTTGACTGCAGATTGTGGCTGTTGATACTGAAATAGCTTCTGTCCTAGTTTCGTAAATTTCTTGAATGTCTGATTTATTGATATCTTTAAAAAAACCTTTATCTACAGACTGAATTTAAATGTTGCCGACATTGATTATGATGGAATCTAGGAGTGCTATATATATATACACACGACTGACAGGCTAGACAGACTGGACAAAACAAAAATACCCTAAATCTTTTACACTAATTTATGTACTTAATCAGGTATTTCCAAGTGTAATGGTTTCTCAATTAAAAGATGTACTGTTATAGATGAAAACTAACTTTATACTCATGATATTCTGACTGTAGAGGTTCTCTATCATCTCTCTGTACTTTTCTGAAATGAAAAGAAAACCAGTCCAATAGAAATGAATTCATAAAATTAAACTAGTGAAAAAAATAATCTTTTTACAGTTTTTGATATACAGTTTTTTTTGTACGGTGATGTTCCTTTGGCTCCATCTTACAGTGTTTATATATCACAACTCGTTCGCTATGCCCGTGTCTGTAGTGACATTTTAGATTTCAATGGATGTAATCTATGTATTACTGGTAAATTATCGTCATGAATTTCGTTACCACAAATTACTAAAAACATTTATCAAAGACATGGTTTGGATGTTTGGCTGTACCTGTAGAAAACTTATTTCAAACGGGATAGTTCATCCTAATTTTTACAGAGATATTGTTCACCCAGTCTGGAAATTTAGATTTGATCCTCAAAAACTTATCGATCCTTTAAACAAACTTATTCTATAAGGTTACCAATTCAACACTGTAGTTAGATCTTTGAATATAGTTTTTATTGGTATAAATATTGATTTTGTTATCAGTAAATTAAAATCAAACTAAATATTATTGTTATATACATATGCACATTCATGGCTCTACAATCTGTCGATACCTGTATATTCAATTGGCATTGAGCAAGGTTGACTCTACAATCTGTCGATACCTGTATATTCAATTGGCCCTGAACAAGGTTATGTTTTTTGCTGACTGTTAATGACTTCTTTACACTAAATCCATTGGATGTTGGATGTGCACTGATTGACATTTTAGTTTTAAATGCATGATTTTTTTTTTATTAGTTGTTATTGGCTTTGAACTAGCTGCAAGTACTCTCAGATCTGTACTAAGGGTCTTTTTTGTTGTGGGGATGTAACAAGAGTGCACCTGTACACCTTACAATCATTCCATACACCAAATATAGAAGACCTATTGCTTATAGTATCTGATATATGGACTTGACCACAAAAACTTAACCTTGTTCACTGATCCATCAAATGAGGTCGAGGTCAGATGAAAACTGTCTGATGGGCATGAGGACCTTGCAAGGTACACACATATTAAATAGAGTTATCCTATTACTCATAATAAGAGAGAAATTAACATTACAAAAAATCTTAACTTTTCTTTTAAGTAGTCACTGAACCATGAAAATGAGGTCAAGGACAATGGACATATGACAGACGGAAACATCATAACATAAGGCATCTTTATACAAAAGTATGAAGCATCCAGGTCTTCCACCATGGAAAATATAAAGCTTTTAAGAAGTTAGCTAACGCCGCCGCAGCCGGATCACTATCCCTATGTCGAGCTCGACAAAAATACCATGTCTCATCCAGTCTGTGTTTTTGTTAGATGTTTTTCTGCTTTGAATCGATCTGATGAGTTAAGCCTTTTCCACTGATTTTTATAGTTTGTTCGTATGTTGTACTGTTACAACACTGTCCTAGGTTAGGGGAGGGTTAACACCAGCAAACTAGTTTAACCCCACCACATTCTATATGTGTCTGTCCCAAGTCAGGAGCCTGTAATTCAGTGGTTGTCGTTTTTTGCTGTATATCATATTTGTTTTTCGTTCTGACATTGTTTCATACATAAATCAGGCCCTCAGTTATACATTTGTCATTTTCGGGGCCGTTTAAAACTTACTATGAGGTATGGATTTTGCTCATTGTTGAAGGCCATACAGTGACCTATAGTTGTTAACTACTATGTCATTTGGTCTCTGGTGGAGAGCAATCATACCACATCTTATATTCATAAAACTTGAATCATGAAATTACATTAGTGTAAAAGTAAACTTTGTGTGATGGACATTCTTGATTTAATTTCGTATGGAATGATGATACACAGAGGGTTAAATAAATGAGGAGCTATGTAAGCTAAAGAAAAAAAAAGAATGTCAACTTCCCCTTAATTTGTTGCAACTTTAGAATTAGCAAAATCTACCAAATAAACCCCTTCAGATTTATGTAAATATACATAGTAAGTAATGTCCACTGCTGCAACATTGACTGCTAGGTAGATGATGCCATCATGGACAAACAATCCACCAGCAGTTATACAAACCCAGTGCTAGTTTCTGTTAAGAGGCTTTACTCATATAATACAGGCATTTTTTCATTCAATCTTTTATCATATATAGCAGTTTTTATTCAATATTTGAAGAAGAACTAGATCAAGTAAAATTGAATGAAATGTTTAGTATGACATACCGCCCCGTCCTCAATATAAAATCTTCCTCAAAATTTCTAAGAAGTCTTCTTAATCTCTTCTTTTCTGATCTTGAGTGTAATAGTTCATCTTGCAGTTGTGACCTTCAAAAATATGAATCATAAATGTAATTACTTGATTACAATTTATAAGTATTACTTTACTTAATTTTGATTTCAAAAAAACTCACAAATTCATATCACTGGTCCTTTATTTGTATAGATGGTAATGTCCATGTTTTGCTATGAGAAAGCATAAAAAATATTTAGGTTAAAAAAACAAAATGGGAGGTTCATAATCAGATTATTTATAAAAGAAGCATTCGTCAAAATTCAAGGAGGTTCAAAATGTTGTTATGTACAGAAGATTCTGTGAAAGTTTCATAAAAATTAAAATCACAGTTGCAGATACCAAGTGTGGATAGATTTCACCACTATAATTTCTAGGCATATAATACAGTATACACAAATTTCCATAATGAGAAATAAGGATTTTTCTAAATGTTATCATATCAGGGTAAATACTATTTATGCTTACAAATTCATTTCATGAAGATTAGCCTCTGTTGTTTCCTCCGATTCTTCATCAATATTCAATTTTCGTTTCACTTTTGGAGAATGTCCATTTTTGTGATCTAAAACATTAGTCCTTCCATTATCACGTAACACAGAAAAGTCTCTTGTCACAGCAAATTCCATTGTACCCAAAATGTCATCATTTTGTTCGTCTTCCTCCATGTCTACACGAGGCAAAATAATTGGATTTCTAGACTGAAATAGAAAACATGGCATAATAAAAGGATTTCTGGACTTTTCGTTCATTGTTTTGTAAATAAATCAGGCTGTTAGTTTTCTCCTTTGAATTGTTATACATTTGTCATTCGGGGCCCTTTATAGCTGACTATACGTTATGGGCTTAGCTCATTGTTGAAGGCTGAACTGTGACCTATAGTTGTTAACTTCTGTGTCATTTGGTCTCTGATAAAGTTGTCTCATTGCCAATCATACCACATCTTCTTATTTTTTTATGAAAAAGAAATTTGGTATCATTATAGGCTTTCTTGACAAAAGATTTCTGTTATATCTATATGTGCTGTCAGGAGTTTGTAATTCAGTAGTTGTTGATTGTTGTCTTCCAAATTTGTTTTCATATACCGGTATTGTTATTAGCATAAATCAGGCTGTTGGTTTTCTCTTTTTAACTCTTTATCTACCACTGACGGATATATACGCGGTTTTTATCATCGTTCTGTCCGCAGTGACTGATAAATCTGCTTGCATAATCAAGCGTGTATACGCAGTGACTGATAGATCCGCTGTAAACATACACTTGCGCAGTCCCGGTGACGGATATTTCCGTAAAATATACCATTGTTAAAACCCTTTAGATTGGACAAAACTGTTCGGGAATCCCGAAATGAACCAATGAAATTCGGTTTTACAAATGAATAATCTTTCAACTCGTACATTCCTTTTCTATAAAAAGTGTGTGTTTACATTTAATTATAATGAATTTTACACGTGTTCGGAATGCGATTAAAACAATGGCGGATGAATGGGCTTCTTTGTTCAAATCGTATAGCGAAAGTGAAGAATTTGAAGGATTTATGCAATTAGAAAGCAAAATTGGAAGTATAGGAAGGGATAATTTAGCTTGTCGGAACAAGATTGGGAGTCTTCCAAGGATGAAGAAGCCAAACATGGAAAAATAATTTGAAAACTTTTTACGTCAGTTTTCGGCAGCTTTCAAGCTTGATAATGAAAAGAAAGAAATTGATTTGGTATTTGTTTCATTTTTCAATTAATATACAATAAATACTGATTAATTAAACATTTAATTAGAGAACTCATAACACAGCCTTAACAATTTGTGGAAAATTCTCTCACTGCAAATTATCTCTGGTAGTTAACCTACAATTCAGCTGCAGTAGCTAACTAATCAGCAGTGTGTAGTAGTGAACTGTAAAGGTACCTGTGGTAGATAAGTTAATTGTTTTACATTTTGTCATGCCAGGGACTTTTAAAGCTTACTATAAAGTATGGGTTTTACTCATTGTTGAAGTCCATACATTTGCCTTATAGTAGCTTAAATCTTCTTGATTTGGTTTCTGATGGAAAGTTGTTTAGTACTGATCTGATGGAAATAGTTTCATTTCTGAACCACTCTCACATTTTAACAATAGAACACAGCAATATTCCTATATTGCATCATGCTAAATATAGAGATTACTTCATACTTATTTTCGGTATTGTTAAATAAACGCAAACAAGAAAGGAAGATATCAAAACATTAGGATTTTGAGAAGAAAATTAATGGATAGTTGTTAAAATTCAATCTATTTGTTTGTTTTACTCTTTAAAACAAAACAATCTTAAGAATCTGAGTTGTTCCTGAATGTAAAGCACAAAACAAACAGTTGATGTCATAGTCTTGGAAAGTAGAAATAAACGTCTAGTCAATTGTTAATCTCCAAAAATCACAACACATACATACTTTATATCAGGATAGATAAAGAACTTTAAATGTATGACCCATGGATACCATGTTAAGATGACTTACAACAAATTTTGAGCCTACAGGATCAATCAGATCTATTGGACCATCTTCTGGTACTGTTTGTAATTCCATCTTCTCTCTGGGCTGGAAACAAAATATAAAGCACCATTCAATTAAATATCATAATAAACTCTCCTACTTTAGCTTCTCAGGCAAGTCATTTATGGTCAGAAAGGTTCAGTAAAGTTAACCCTTCTTCAATGACATCTAATGGTTATGACTTGAGAAGGAGGTTTACAAGGCATCGGGCATATAATCCCCTTTTCTATTTTGAATCTCTGACAGAAATGTTTATTTCATTAGTCTTCTACAACCAAGATTAGGTGTGTCTATAAATGTTTCATGTATGATATATTACTGCATTCTTCTGCCATGCTGAGTTATGTAAAAGTATTCTTTACTTTGCAATGCTGCTTCTGATTTATATTCTACTTAAAATCAATAGAAACATGGATACTAAAAAAACTAACAGACATAGGTGTGGTAATGAGACATTTAATTTATCGATATCTTTCAAAACTTACAGACATAGGTTTGGTAATGAGACGTTTAATCTGTCGATATCTATCATACAGAGGTCTCATCAAATCTTTATCTTCCTTTGATTTCTGAAAATCAATGTTTCATATTTATTGACAATAAGCATATTTGATTCAAAAGAAACCATATTGTTTATATTGATTTCAGCTAAGTATTCCTTAAATTTTGACAGATGTATTTTCTTTGAATACTGAGGCTGTACATATAGTTTTTTAAGTCCATATCTTAACAGATGTATATAGCTTTATATTTTCAATGAATACAAAACATAAAATGCCACTTTGTTTGAAATAGACAGCAAATTGAGTTCTATCATTACACACAGTGGTTACTCATTTCTATCATAATTATAAAATATATGTGTGTTAAAAACACCTAAAAGATAAGCTACAGAGAAGAATTGTTTTTATATGTTCTCTTTATCAATAATAACTTAATAAAACTTACAGGTCTACCATGTATACTCTCAAAATGTAGCAATGCCTTCTGAACTGCCAGTTTTTCTTCCTGGACCTGATCTCTATTCATTAACTGCAAATGATTATTCACACACAAAATAAACTTCTATGTTAATAAAAGGTCATGGAAAACATTCTGAAATTTATTATTTAAAATATCCGTTTCTTTTATTTTGAAAATGTGAATATTATCACAGACTTTGCTTTCTATAAATGTTCTATTATAAGTGTTAAGTCTCATGTGTATACCCAGTTGTTTAGGTTTTTTATTTCAACTACATTTTTGGACAAAGAGTAACATCAATAACTTAGCTAAATTGCTCATCCTTGTGGTGAAAAATTCTTACTTCAATATCCTCAGGTCTCTGGTTTTCCCTTCTCTTTTCTTTTAACTTTCTGAGTATTAATATTAGAGTCTGTTCCATAGATGGCGGTAAATCAGGAGGATCCATCCTTTCTCCGCTGGATGAAGCACCACTACCGTGACGACTTCTACTTCCCATCTCAGCTTCCTCTTTCAGTTCTGTAAGTGAATGTCAATTCTTAGTTTCAATAATATTTTTTATCACAGAGAGTTCATCTTTTTTTATACCAAATTTTTCACATTTCAAATGAATAATCGCCGTATTAAAATTTTTTTTTTGCTTAATGCACAAAGGTTAGGTTTTTTATCCTGTGTAATATATATATCCTGTGTAATATATATATATATATCCATTGGAAAATGAATATGAATATTACATTAAATCAATGGACTACATTTTTAGATCATTGTAAGAGATTTCTTATGTTAATGTTGTATCAAATAAATTTTCATATATCTAAATCCAAAATTGCGATAGAAATTATTGGCATATTAATTACATGCTAAAGTTTTTTTTTTAAATTCAAATATTCATAAGGACTGCATTGTGTAGTGCAAGTTTTGATCTATCCAATATCAAATTCCTTTACTTCACTTATTATTCATTAGAAACAGACTTACTTCTGAGATCTTTCTTGGCCTTGGTTAAATCAGCCAACCATTTCTTAACTTCCACTCTACTGATCTTGTCTGCATGAGATGGCTGAAAATGTAACAGATATTTGACATTATACTATTTCGTTTCAAATTATTTTAAAAGTCATTTAAGGATTTTGTGCTAAATGCACTTATTTATTTTGAATTGGTTCAGCATTATTTAATTTTCTAGGTAACTTTATATGAAAATTAATCTTATGTTGACTTGTTTCTCTCATTGATATCAATCCTGCATTTCATATTCATACTGCATAATTTATAAATTATAATGTGTGATACTGATTTCCGTGTGCATGGCCCGTCTGGAATAACCTTCCGCAGGTTTATCCTAAACCCAAAAGTCAAGGTTAGCTTGTGTAGAATATGAATATCATAATTGTACATCCCAAAATAATACTAAATTTGAATGTTTGTCCTTTTTTTTTTTTTTTTCTATTTTCATAAGGAATTTAACAAGGGATAATAACAAACTTACCTTAAATCCTTGCTCTTGTTCAAAACTTTCTTCAAAATGTTTTATCTTCTTTTTAATGGCTGAAATTAAAATATGTAAAGTTGGTTTGATAAATACATAGAGATGATTAATTAGACTTTAATTCACATAACTTAATTCTGCAATAAAACAATTATACTGGTAGTAAAGCACATCTTTGTAAATAAGATTTTTTGGTTCTAGGTTAAATATAAAATAACCTTTAATACAAGTACTGTGTCTCTGAAGTTTATAAAATTAACTTAAAGTATACGGATGACATTACCTTATGGTAAGTGAGTGATTAATATTACTGAACGCTCACTTTTCATTTAAATAATACCACTATTGGTACTGAAGTATAATGTAGAAATTTGAGAAAAAATAGTCACCTTGTATTTTCTTTATAATCTGTTTATGTTTTACTGAAAAATCATCATCAATACTTCCTGTACTGTAAATATAAAAGGTATTACATTAGAGAAATATAAAAATAGACTTTCAAAATATGGAATCCCATGGATTTCCACAGGCTTAAATTGATTACAACTTATGTATTCTCAGAAAATTTATTTCCATATAAAAGAATACAGAAAAGAGTAGTTCAGTCTACAAGAAAAGTTTTCTGACAAAGTTGCATCTGTATTTTCATTTAGATACATTCTTGGTATCTGTATAATTGTTTTCATTTTCAAATCTGAACATGACTTTGTTTTTCCCATTTTTTTATACAACTTATTTTCCATTTGGTCAACCAATCTGTATGTAATTATTTTTTTTTCAGAAGGGATGAGTTTCCAGACTTTGACATAGGGCTAGTATCTATGAGTGCAGACTGTTTTAATATTACTCTAAATGTAAAACTTGTTTTTCCTGTTGTGATTTGCTTCTTTGTTTTACATGTTGTAATCTAATGATACGAATAAATCAAATCAGTAAAATTCTCAAATGAATTTTGAATTTATCAAATCTTCTGTAATAAGGAACTAGGATAGATAAAACAACAAACCTGTGTTTTCTATACTGGTCTTGGTCGACTGGTGGAGACGGAGGAAAATCTGTATTGTTATGTACACTGAAATCAAAAGAAAACATCTACAGTCTAATAACAAATTTTTCAATGTTCATAAGTATTTATATAATAATTTTATTCCAGCAAAACTATCAATACTGCTAATTTTGTTATGTATAAATTTCTCAACAGCCATTATGGAATACCAGCATGACATTTGAGACCCAAAACACTTGTTAATGGTAAATGTCAATTATCTACAAGCCCCAAAACTTGATAAACATATATCTACTTAATGTTAAATGGCAATCTGTAACACATAAACATCTCTACTACAATCACATGTAACACTTTACTACTATCACATGACACTTTACTACAATCACATGTGACACTTTACTACAATCACATGACAGAGATTCATTCCACATGAATAATAGTCCTTTTCCTGGCAGAGAAATAAATGATACAAATGTACCAAAATATAAAATAAAAATATAAACATAATTAAAACATGCACACCATGCCAAGGTAAGACTATATAAACAATAACATAGGATCACTAATGCTAGACAGCTGTATATGTCAATAAAAATAACAATGTCAAATGTTATTAATTTCAGCTGAATAAAAATTTTAATTCTTAATTTCTGATATCATAACATAGCTTTTCCTCTTTGCAATCATGCTTGTAATACAATGCCTATGAACTTAACATAAAATTAGGCTCCTACAACCTATATCATTCAAATGACAGCTAGAATAAATTTCATTTTGCATCAAAATCATAAATTTTATTATAGATCTGAATATATGAAAGTTGACCAAAAATGGATGATCTTCATAAAAAAAACTGGTATAAAATGATTTAAATAAGGAGTATTAAATGAGTTTAATTGTTTTTCTAATATTTTTAATTGAAAGTAATGGAGATAATCATAAACTAAATTAAATTTTCCATTCGTTTGATGTGTTTGAGCTTTTGATTTAGCCATTTGATAAAGGACTTTCCATTTTGAACTTTCCTTGGAGTTCGTTTTTTTTGTTATTTTACTTTTTGAAACAATTTTATACGAAAAATTTGATTTTTATTCAAAATACCATTTCATACAATAGTTCTCAATAGGTTTTGTGATTAAAGAACTTTATATAACAGTAATAGTTTATTGCCACATTTAATGAAAGCATCACTGTACAAATCTAACTTTGAATGGCAAAATAACCACCTCAGGGGTCTCGTGGTAGCTTGCACACCTCAAGTGCTTGATGTCATTGGTTTGATTCCTGATCTGGTCAAATAAAGACTGAAAATTTGTACATGTATTTGATGCTTCTCCTCTAAGCATGCAGCGTTTAGGAGGAAAACTGATCGGCTTGGAGTCTGAATAATATGTCAGGGTATGGTGACATGTCTTGCTGTGGACTATTACCTTGTGAAATAGCATGTTAAAAATCTGGATCAGCATGGTTCATACTGATATGAGACTACCATGTTCTTATCCTGAATATGCATGCAATACTTACCTCTGGACATTAAATGCGAGTCATCCTTTCATCCAAATTTTATCTGGACAAATTTTTCATTTTAATCATAGGTTCCTTATAGACTTAGAATGTTCAAGTATGAAAATAGATGCAAATAAATGATAATATCTGATAATGGCCAGGCGAGCTAAAACTTGATCTACACTACTAAATCAATAAATATAAATAAGATAATTATCTGTAAAGCAAAGTGTTTATATATGTTTGTTAATTTCAGTGAATAAAAAGTGTATGGTGATAGTCTATAACATCACATTATATTTTAACATACATGTATCTTTATATTATACAAACAAAGTTGATACATAGATTGATAACATATATCACTGCTCTATTAACATTAAAAAAAATCATTTCAAAATAGAGTGGAAAACTTCATTAACAGAAGCAAAACCCTCTCTTGATAAACTCATTTTTAGAAAAAAAAAAGGTGACACTTTATGCTAGTCAGGTGCTATTTATCTACTCACTGGGTTGTATTAAAAGAAAACCTGTGAAACACTCAAAATTCATATAATTGATAAACACATGACTGGATAGTTAGGGTGTCTTAATTAGTCTTGTTATTTAATGTGGTCATTCAATCAGACTGATAGTAGCTTGGACCTACACTAATATTGCAGTATTAAAATAAGAATGATTATCTCCCCTTTAAAAAATTTAAAACAACACGTTTAATAATTTCATGCGTCCGAAGCGCTTTTCTGGATTTACCTTCATCAGGAACGCTCAATGCCAAACATTTGAAATCCGAGGGATGTATAAGTACACATGTGAATCTTCAACTGTGTAAAGTTTCATCAAAATCTGTCCAGCACTTTAGGAGTATTTGTGCCTACAAGGCACATAGACAGACAGACAGACATGATGATTCCTATACTGTGGATTAATTTATTTTCAAGAGGATTGAGAAAATGTTGTATGGTTTTGCCACAATCGAGTTAGTCTGCAAACCAAGAATTAACCATTTCAAAACAAAAACAGAATTCGATAAGCAGATAATATCATTGTATAATAATCAATTAAAGTTATAAAACTTTCACTCAAAAGATAGACATTATAACTGAGGAACTATCTCATGGGATGTTAAACCCTGAATTCCATGGGCATAAAACAAGGGGCACAATTGTGTCTGTGTCGCTCACCTGATGAAAAAAAAAAAATCACCATTTTGCTAATTAGGACTTTTATATGCACGAACTATAGCTACTCCTCGTGTTGCTTATTATTAAGCAGTTAACATGTTTTACCTAGCTCCGATAGTTTTAAGATATCAGTAAAAACTGCAAAAACAGAAAGAATCAACATTTCAGGGGCAATAACTCATCAAAAGGGTAGTCAAATTTCACAAAATGTATATTTCAGGGGCAATCACTCAAAAGCATGTTGACAGATATTCTTGAAATTTTCAGGGTTAATAGATCTTGTTTAGCTTTTTATTTTTGCAAACTTTCAATTTACTACTATATTTTTCATGAGAACAGCCAGAAACTGCAAAAAATGGATATTTCAGGGGCAACTACTCCAATTCATGTGAACAGATTTTCTCCAATATTCAGGGTAGACACATCATGTTATGCTGATTGTTTTTGCAACAAACACCTTTAATCTTGTTCCTATAGTTTTCATGATAACAGACAATAACTGCTAAAAATTGGAAAAAATTGAAATTTTGGAGACAAAAACATTGAAACTAGTAGTTTTTACATTTTTAATTTGGCTCCTACAGTTTTTGAAACAATGCTGAGGAAATGCTGAAAAAGTTAAAAATCAACATTTCAGAGGCAATAACTCAAAAACAGGTTGAAATAATTTCCCAAAATATTCAGGGCAGATAAAACTTGATGTGTTGACATTTTATACTATGTTAGTTTTCCTCTTATTGCTATAATTCAAGAGATATTAGCCAAAACTGTAGTTTAGCCCCTATGTTTTATTTTTAGACATGGCGATCATGTTGGTTGATCAACCTGGATGAAAATCACAAACATTATAGTTGACATCCTACAGATCTAGCGGACACACTTTGGCTTCGATCTATTGATCAGTTTCAGAGGAGAAGATCTTTAAGGAAAAGTTTATGGATGACGGACGACAGTGAGCTAAAAATATTCGCTGCTTTCTTTGTTATAAAATATATATTCCTTTTACCCAAACTGATTAAGGTCATTAATTCAAAATAACTTATGAATAAAACATTCATTCTAACTAATAGAGCAATGTAGTGTGATTATAAGCATGAAAATAAATATTGTTCATTTTGTATTACTTTCCATTTTTCTCTTCAATTTCTTAAATTTTATATTTTTCTGAAATACAGCATTAATCGTTATCTTCAATAAATTGAATTATTGGAGATAAGTTAATCTTTATAGAAATCGACCATTTACCACTTGATAATGCAATTAAAATATTCTTGTTATTATGACACCATAATTATAATTAGTAAAGGTGAAAAATTGATTGAAAAAAATTCATTCTCCTTTCAAAGTACGTTACTTTTAACGAAATGTCTATGGTTGATGGCACTCATAAGATGAGTTTTCTTTTTAGTTTCCATCTAAAAATCAAGAGTAATACAAAATCTACAATACAGGTAGTTCTATAAAACCAGAGGGTGTAAACGTGAAATTCACCTGTTTGGGAGGCAAGCACTTGGTGAAAGTGGTCCCTCCTCATCATATTCAAATTCTGTCCAGCTAATTAATAAGTAATCAGAAATTTATATATTTCATAAATTCTGTTTGTCATTGTTTGAAATCCCAATAATAAAACTTTCGAGTAGAGTATAAACAAGTCATAAACTAAATTACAATTGACTATGTTAAATGTGACCTAGATAAATATTGCACACAAAAATGCCAGTATACAATTTTTTGAATTTCTAAATATAGATTAGGGCTATTCCATTAAAATGTATGTGGGAGGGTAGGAAGGGACTTTCAAAATATCCCTACAACCAAGAACCATTTTTTAGATAATTTTGCATAAATGGTAATAGACGCATACTTAAAAAAGACCCATGACACACATTCAATAATTAAACTTCCCTTCCCACCCTCCCACATACATTTTAATGGAATAGCCCTTATATAAAAGCTTAACAAATGGTACAAGGTTCTTTACATTAACTTGTTTCCACATTTCATATTTCAGCAATACAATGTATAGAGGTATATTTCATACAAATTCTATACTAAAGAATATCTAAAGAACTTAAAGCTCTGGCTAAATGATTTTTTTTTTCAAACATTGTACAATAGGATAAAAATTAAAAATCCAAAACTTTTCACTTTCATTATCAAAGTTTATTATTATGACAACAAAAATCATAAAAGGGGTTCAGTATTTTATTTGATCAACAGCATATCATTAATCACTGTTCCAAACAAAGTATTAACTCTCTTTAAAGCAGGTATAGCTTTATCTAAATACCTTGGACTTATTTATTTTGGTGGAAACCAATTTTTGTGGATTGAGAAAAAATATATTTTCATAGATATTTGATTTCATGATTTTGCTAAAGTCTGAATAAAAGCACACAGAAAATTTGTACTTTGTTGAACAATTCAACTCGTGGATTACCTTTACCCACAAAATCCATAAAAACATGGTATCCCACAATTAATAATGAAGTCACAGTAGTGTGTTTGGATACTGAAGATAGAGTAGTTGAAAATACTTTTAACTACTCGATTCATTATAAAATAACTAATGGAATTCAAATCTAGAAAAATATTCAACGAGAGACCGAACAACACATTCAAGAATGCATGTAGAGCATGAGTCAATTATCAGTGTTGTTTGATCACGAGTTGAATATTTTCAATATTTTAATTCTTTGATTTTAGTTATTTTTTTATTACATTGACAACGGGCTTTTAAATGGAAATAAAGTAGAGAATGCAAGGAACTATATCCTTTTCTATGCATTCACAATTCCCTTTGAAACAAAGTCATCAACATCATCTTGACACCACCTATTGTTGTATGATGTCAGAGGAGTGAAATTATGGAGTTTATTTCACATGTGAAATTATCAGTTTTTATTTCATTGGGAAATCATGGTAATCCATTGCAACCAATGTAATAATATTTAATTACCTTCATTTTTAGTAGTAATTTAACTTGTAATGTGTAATTTTCTTTGTTTCAGAGTAGATCTGTCTGAATGCCTACATACCTAGTTTTGTGTTTCTTTAATTTATGGGTCCTTGGAGATACCATGACATCATCCCCATTCACCTGGTTTTTGGCACGAAGATATGAGACAGAATGTCCTTTAGTAGCTAAAATTGGATCTGAAATAGTCCAAAATATAAATCATGCAATTAGAACATTAAACTGGAAGCTGATTTTTCACCTGTGCAGATTAATTATAAGATTCAATATACCAAAAATCACTTACAATTACAGATGATGTCTTTTAATCAGTACTAAAAAGTTTGATCATTTATATCTAATCTCATCTGAGCAGGAACTCTTTGTTATTTGTGTCATAGGGTTTGTTTCATTAATTTATACTCCATATCTCTTTTTCTTCATATACAACAGGATTTAAACGTAGTTGGTCTTGTAAACAATACACAATTTTTCATAATTTTGCATTGCCTAATGTACAAAAAGGCTACTTTTGGGCATTCCAGGCAACCTGTATTAAAGCATGCATATATCTGTACTGTTTGTCTTTTGTCTTTTAGTAATTGTGGATTCATCATTATTCGTTTGGTACCAATTTTCGTGGATTTCGAGTGTATAGATAAACAACTTGTTTAAATGTTCAACAAAGTCTAAATCTCTCATATGTTTCTATGCAAACTTGGTAAAACCAAGATATCAAGTATCAAAAATATTTTTTTCTTCCATCCATGAAAATTGGTACCCACGAAAATAAATGAATCTACAGTAATTTTTTTGTGCTTTGTGCAAATCTGATGAGTCAAGCTCTATTCAACAGTTCTTTTATTGTGCAGTTACACCACACTCCCAGGTTAGGAGCACTCACAAACATGTTTAACCATACCACATTCTTTATATGCCGATCCAATCAGGAGCCTATAGTTCAATGATTGTTGTTGCTTGCTGTCTGCCGTATTTGTTTTTAGGTTGGTCTTTGGTTGATAGTTGTCTCATGGGCAATCATGTCACATATCCTTATTTTAATATAAGGCTTACAAGCATGTAACTTCTTACCAAATGTTTACATTTTAAAGTACATATTAGTCTTCCTACCACTGTGTCAAGTAGTGTCGCTTTTACCTTATTATGACTTTCATGACCAGTGCCACTAGTGTAGCACAATCTGCTAACTATTTCCAAGCACCTGCGGTAACCCCAAATTTTTGGTGGGGTTCATGTTGCTCAGTTTTAAGCTTTTAAATGTAGTGTTTTGTCGACTAGCAAGTCTTTTTGTTGTCTCATTTTTTTGCCATGGCGTGTCAGTTTTTCCTTGGTATCTTCCATCAATTTTTTCCCAATGTTTCAGTAAAAGGTCTTATTCTATTCAATATTTTAATGGTCCAGTGATATTACTGTACATTACCTGTTTTTCCCTATGTTTCAGTAAAAGGTCTTATTCTATTCAATATTTTAATGGTCCAGTGATATTACTGTACATTACCTGTACTGTCCACATGTTCATGGAGTGTAGACAAATCTAATGGAGGAATGAATGGTTTACGACTGTTACTTGGTGATCTACTAGGAGACATATCTGGAGAACCTCGTTTTTCTATCTCCTCTCTGTTATTGGTTAGTTCTAAGAAAGCAACTCTTGGTTTGGGATGGTTGTGATTCATATCGCCATCGTCCTCATTTTCCTGGTTGTTATTGGATGGTGCCTCCATGATAAGGTCTAAATCTTCTGACATTTTATTGTGCTTCACAGGGACTGGTACATCGTCACTTGGAGTTTCCTCTTCTTCACCTCCAGAGCTTCCTCTTGACTTCCTGGATGGGGATCTCCTATTTAAAGGTCCAGAAGTCCTTTTGAACTGAAAAAGAAAAATAATGCAAACAAATGACAAAGTGTTTCTGTTATCTTAAACTTTAATTTCAAAAATTATGACATACAACCATGCTAATTCTTTAACCGCTAAACCGTGTATTTAAAAATGTTTATGACACATTGATAATATTCAATACAACATTAAACCAATTTCATACTTGTTAAATACTGAAAGTTGAATTCAGGTCATGACCCATTAGACTTTGATAAGACTATAACTACATCTGTTGAAATTTTCTGATGATTTTCCCATCGTAATCAGTTGTTAACACTTTCAAAATGTTTTGAACTGTCATCCCCAGCATTACAGTATCTTTGACACATTTCAAAACCTATTTTTATCAACCTTGAATAAATCCTATTTAACTACACAAGGCAGGATTGGCATTTTATGTGACAAAATTTTTTATTTGGTAACTAACTGATTTACAAAATTAATGAATTCAGGAGAAAATAAGTACATTAAAAAACATAGATAGGCTAAATATTTCTATTTTCTTAGTGTAATGCAAATACAAAATTTACAATTACTTGACAATGAAATTAGCCAGTATCAATATACTACACCTACAGATGGAAGGGGTTCAGTTGAATTTCTTCTCACAACTTCAAATGGATCTTGTTCATCATCATCATCATCATCACAAACAAATTCTGAAATTCTGAAATAACAAAATGTAGTTATTATAGTCTTATCAGAACAAACTATTTCACATCTGTTGAAATAGTATCAATTTAAAATTAATATTATGAACAGTAACTGTGATTACTTTCAGATGTTGGTCTTTTTGTTAGTTGTTTTTTGTTCTTCTTGCCAATCTGATGAGTCAAGCAATTTCAACTTATTTTCAAAAGTCTGTTCTTGTTTTGTTTTGTTACACCACTGTCCAAAGTAAGGTGGAGAATTAATTGCACACAAACATGTTTAACCCAGCCCCATTCTATATGTTTCACATTTTGTCATGTCGAGTCCTATGGGTTTTTTCATTGTTGAAGGCTGTACAGTGACCTGTTTATGTTTAAATCCTTGTCCTATGGACTCTGGTGGATAGTCGTCTCATCGGCAAACATACCACATCTCCTTATTTTAAATTGCTGTATGGTATTAACATAGAATACAATTCAGTGTCAGTCCAGATAGCAGCACTGTTGCTTTAATACAAGGTTGTATCACGTGATTAATGACTCTTGTATACCCACATCATAATGATCAACATATAATGTAGTAATAACATATTCTGTACATATATATACCTCTGTTCTGCTGATTCTTTTTCTTGTGTGTTCCTAGTCTGAATATCTGTAATATCTGTCGGAGCCTGGAAATACACAGAAAATGCAGAGGTATGAACAAACTAGTCTATCTGGTAAGTGATATGTATAATCTCCATAGATTAAAGAACATAAATTTTCAACAGTTTCATTATAAAATGCCAGAAAGAATGATTCTTGTTAAAATATTATTGTCTTCTTCTTGAGAGATGATAAAAAAATTCAGAATGAAGTTTTCATTGATAATCCAGCTGCAGACAACATGCAACCTAATTCTTTTAACACAGCTGCTTGCCAATGTTTACTATAGCATCTGAATTGCGTAGAAGGTCATTTACATTCTATATGAATAAAACATCAGCCCTAATTCCATATAAAAATTGAAATATATTGGTTATCTCCCAATCAGTATAAAGATAATACCTGTGCTATCATAATTCCTCTGCTTTCAAATAAATCAAAAGCTTTTGACACGGGCCTGGCCTTTAACGGTTTTACAACTGGATCTACTTCCATTTTTTCTGGGTCTTTCTGAAAAGCTTTGATTCTATCCAAGATTGGCACAGGTTCCACAGTCTCAATTGTCCTAGAACATTACAAATCAGTAAAATTACAATTTGAATCCTAGTCAATTAAGATCTGAGTCAAACACATGCCACAGGTTAAATTCAAACTCACAACCTCAGTGTTGACAGATAATGATCTCTATGATGAAGAACATAAACCACTATGATATTCAACATTTAACACGTAAAACAATCTATGCACAAAATGTATCAGACATTTCTATATTTATTGAGAAGTAATAATAATATAACATTTGTATACATATTTATTTTTATATATCAAGAAGTACATCTTTTTACATGTACAAGTAAGTATCTTTGCAGTCATTTCAAACTACCTTAACTTCTGTCCAATTAGTCACCTAATCAACTCTTACTCTATATATTATTTATTTGGGTTAGGCTATTTTTCCTTTGAAACAATGCAAACACTATCTGAACTTATTGTATGTGGTTGTTTGGTTTTGGTAAAAATGAATGAAAGAACATACCCATCATCTAAGTGCTCCAATTTTATTGCTTCTTCATGGGAATGATCTGAAAATATTAATTTAAAATTTTTGTTGTAAATTGTAGAAGTCCTTCCTACATTGGCAGGCTGTTTTCTTATTTCAATCACATGGTCAATGTAATGTTGCCCATCAAGGGCCCATAATTGATACAATATCCAGTACATCTGATGCTTCGTACTATAAAATCTTCACATTCCACCTGTAGACTTCAAAATACAAAACATTTTTATCCTCCTCTACTCTAGGTACTTATGTATACCAAGTATCATTAAGATTGATTAATACATTTAATCAGTAAACCTTCTGAAATATAAAGCTTTAAACAAATAGTTTACGCCTGTCGCTACCAGATTGTAATACCTATGTCTCGTATACTGCAACTTTCGTCGCAGGCGAGACAAAAAATCTGGATGGAGTCAAACAGTTAATTCTTGATTATATCTATTCTGTTTTTGCTGTCCAAAATACATTGAACTATATGAAACAGATTAAAGGAGGTCATATGTATATGATAGTCACAGAATATATGTCTGCTGACATAATCATACTTCTTCTACTAAAGTTTAAATTACTTAAACTCATAGCTGAATTGAAAAAAATTAAAAAAACAACAACAAAATAAATGTAGCATGTGTCCTCATGGACACAGATGATACCCCCGCTTGCATACAACATTATAAAGGGACATAACTCAAGAACGATAAAAGTGACGCTACCCAAATTTGTACTTGATCTGAGTTTTAAGGTAATAAGTATTGTGTATAGGTTTCATAATGTTTGGTTGGGGCAAACTTAAGTTACAGAACGGAAACTAAAAGTTTTGCAATTTTTCGATTTATAAAGGGCATAACTCGATAATGATTAAAGTGACGCTACAAAAATTCAACTTGATCTGTGTTTTGTGGTAAAAAGCATTGTGTATAAGTTTCATAACATTTGGTTGAGGAAACTTAAGTTAGAGAACGGAATCTAAAAATTTTGCAATTTTTTTCCATTTATAAAGGGACATAACTCGAGAATGGTTAAAGTGACCCCACCAAAATTCAAACTTTATCTTTATTTTGTGGTAATAAGCATTGTGTATATGTTTCATAAAATTTGGTTGAGGCAAACTTAAGTTAGATAACAGAAACTAAAAATTTTGCAATTTTTCCATTTATGAAGGGCATAACTCTAGAACGGTTAGAGTGACGCTACCAAAATTCAATCTTGATCTGTATTTTGTGGTAATAAGCTTGTTTATAAGTTTCATAACATTTGGTTGAGGCAAACTTAAGTTAGAGAATGGAAACTAAAAATTTTGCAATTTTTCCATTTATAAACGTGCATAACTCTAGAACAGTTAAAGTGACGCCACCAAAATAAAAATTTGATCTGTGCTTTGTGGTAATTAGCATTGTGTATAAGTTTCATAGCATTTGGTTGAGGCAAACTCAAGTTAGAGAACGGAAATCAATTTTGGGACGTACGGACGGACAAGGGTAAAACTTAATGCCCCTTCCGCTACAGCGGGGGCATAAAAAACATCTCTCAAATAATATTGACAAAAAATCTCCAATAGAACAAGAAAGTGAATTGTGAGGTACCTTTCTGGTGTTCATCTTCAGCCTCTGTATCATCTTCATCTCCAAACAAATTATTAGTGATGGCTTTGGTTATGGCATGTTCTACAACTCTGCAAATAAAATCAAAATCATCCCATTCTTAGAAAGAAATATCTGTCAAAAGAAAAACTGATACAGCAAGGAAACAGAATAATTTACAGTTCTTCTATAAAAGCATGCAAAGCAAACCTTTGATCAATTTGCTTGCTATGTTTGTTTGGATGTTTGCAAACAATAGGTAGGCGGAGTTTCAGTCTGTTTTGTATATACTGGAATTTGATTAGACAATAAAAATTGACATGCAATGAAGTTAATGTTTATTGTCCAATCAAATTCCAGTATATAATAAACAGACTGAAACAGACTACCTACCTTTTGTTTACAAACATCCAAACAAACATAGCAAGCAAGTTGATCAAAGGTTTGCTTTGCATGCTTTTATAGAAGAGCTGTAATGTCTATCTACAGTTTTAAATATACAATATATAATAAACAAGCATGAAGAAAAAAAGTGAGGAAAACTGAATATTTGTGTGAATTTTCTAAGTCCAAGGACCACAACTCTGCACAAAATTATCTAACTGGAATAAAATACAAAGGAGTAGGTTCGATAAGGCCCTAAAATGGCCCCCTTATTAAGCTTAAATTTAGAATTATGATTTATTGACCAATAGTACAATGAATCATAGCTAATACAGTGACTAGATAGGAAATAAGTCTATTTGTTGACAATTGACGTTCCTGCGTTTTATTAATGCATCACAAATAGTACTCGTTTAGATTTTCCACGAAAAATCAATGAAAATGGCTAAATTTCCATTGATTAATAGACAGGAAATATAGAGCGCATACGTCGACAAAAGAGATCTTTGGAAATAATGGTTTTAATGACATTTCACATGTCTAATTGAAATATTTAGTTTGTCGACGCCTGCGCTCTATGTTTCCTGGTCCTAAATTTGGCTAAAATCAGGCTGATTTTGTCAAATTTCGCCAAGATCCCTTATTTTGACCTAATTGGGATGTAAAAATGAAAGCTTTAAAAAAAACTTTGACGGAAATAGTTTTATATAACTTTCTCGTATGTCTTTAAGTCAACTTAAAACATTTTTTATCTTGTAACATTGAACTTAATAATTGGGGCCAAATATGGCCCTTATCGAACTTACTCCTTTGATCTGTAACTTGTCATGATAAAACAATATATCAATATGTTTAAGCACGAAGAAAAAAAGTGTGGAAAACTGATTTGCCGGACTGACAGATGGACAGACAGACAGACGGTAGGAGACTAATAAATGAAGTAAAGTTAAAAATATTTCTACAGACTAAATGAATAATTCAAGCTCCCAGGAAACTTGTTTCTTTTTTCTAGGAAATCTGAGAATGTATATAAACCGAAATTTACTTACAGCGTTATTTTGAAAGAAAACATATCCTAGGATAATGAGATGTACTTTAATTCATGTCACTCAATTGTAGTTGACAAGTTGGAATACACACACCAAATCAATAGAAATTTTGTAATTCGTTTGGTATTACTTTTGGTTTTAGTAAAGTACTCTAAAAGCTATAACTTTCAGAATAATACTTCCACAGTGTAAAAATTCCCCTTAAATAAGAATATTTAATATAATATAATAATGTTTACCTATATAAGGTCATCACATTAATATTATGACAGACTCAAGGTGCAGGATCCTGTTATGGACAATTTAATGAAATTATGATTCTAAAATAACACATGGTGTTAGTGATGGATGTTTTGACAGACTTCATTAAAGAAGAAGGTAGGATCTGGGACAAAATTGGTCATAAAATCAAACTAGTTCTAATTTTTAGAATCAAATTTTGAATCTCTGTTTTTTTAATAAAACACTTCAGTTTTGGTTCAGTATATATCTTTTTTCATGGATTTAATACCCATAAAATGAAAGTAAATTCAGCAAAAAGCTGAAAGCACACAAAATCTGACAATTTGACTTAGAAAAAGTATAAAGCACAACTGTCATTCAAAAAGATATTAAAACTAAAAAGTGTATTTTGTGTTTGTCTATTCACTGGCAAAATATTACTTTGAGAGACACTTGTGCTCTATGATTATTTAGCCAAAATATTCTTTAAAATAGCCTATTTTAGCAAAATATCTAAAAATACTGGCTTCAGATGTCACTTTAATAATGTCACAACCAAATTGTGTAATCATTTCTTGGCTAATATTCAACATTTCTGAAAGACTTTCTTCTAATGCTTAAAAAAAGTGTGATAAGAAATAATATTATGCAAGATAATTTTTTTTTACTTCTCTATTCACAACTTTCCTAAACTCAGGTGTGTCGGAGAAAGACAGAAGTATGGACATTTGTCTATTGTGGAAGTTGGTATGCAGATCTTTGGACGTCTTTTTCCAGTTTTGGTTGGTTATTGGGTTGCTATCTCAATGATTTATCATAAACATTTTCTTTCAATAAAACTAGATTTTAATAAGAATAACTACATTGTATTACAAACTTACTTGGATGTTCTGGCAGATGGGACTGGAGATTCTATTATACTGTATCCTCCATCACTGTAATCAAATGGAAATATATATTTACACCATATCAAGATTATTATTAAGCAATTGTTTACATCCTGAAATTTCTATCCATCAAAAATTGACTGTTTGGAAAGAATTTCTTTATTCATTTCCAGGTTAGTTCAGTATTAACTTAAGATATGAATTTGATATAGGATTGTCCTCTCTTCCCTTTAAATGAAAGATTTCTTACCTGTCCAATATGAATGGAGAAGCAGCCCGTCCTGTGATTTCATCATCACTAAACATAGGACTATGGATATTTCCTCTTCCTACAGTCAGACTTGATGATGTTTCACTGTGATCGTTATGTTCAATATCATCACCATCCTGGTAATGAACACTGTCATAATTCTCATGACGAATCTGTAAACAAAATTAACCTTCTAATAACATTGTTATGAATGTTATATCCTTTTAATTAACATATATATAAATTTCAAATGACACTATAAATGAAAGATGTAATAAATTATCACCTTTAACAAGGTCCCATCAATGGTACCAAATGACACAGCACATCTGAAAAAAATCATTTGTTCCGAAATATACTTGTCAAATACTTACCTTTTTTCAGATCAACAACATAATATTCCAAAACAGTATTTCTTTCAAAATAGAAATCATTACGGGATCTTTTGTTTGCATTTACTTCGTCAATCATAGAAAACAGGAATAAGAACCTGTAGTTCTAACTAAAAAGTCTTGTACATTTAGAATCATCTCTATAAATAATTATTATTTACTACACAACCTTTTTTCACTGATATACAAGATAATTCACAACATTTCCATAAAATCTAATCAAAATGTCTTGTCTGACTGTTGCATAAAGTAGTGTTATTGGATGATCATTCAAGACCACAGATTTATTGCAAAAAAACGGAAGTAAAATAGGTGTAAAATCGTTATCTACCATTAACAAATTGTCTGTAATTCCAGAGGAAGGAAACAATCCATGACACAATCACTTTATGAAAACAGTACTGACAATCATGTTATAGTCTACACTGAATGACAATTTTCAGACAAAATGTTGGAGTTTATAGACCATCATTACTCAAGTCAATACAAAAAATAATGCAAAGACAACCACTTCTACCTTGACACATATAAACACTCTTTCTCCAACAGTACTAGAGACGGACACTAACAAGAAAGGCAATCATCATATGTGAGCATTCTTTTTTGTTTTAAGGAATAAGTGTCACCTAAGTTTCAGATGTCTACTCGTTCTTTGCTTCAGAATTTCGGATATCCTTTCTTACTTAGAAAATTTCTCTTCATTACTAAATTTCTTAATGCCTACATTATGAAAGTTTTTTGATGTTACACAATTTTTAGAATATATTTCCCATCCATTAATTACAATCTGCATTTGAATCTGAACGGAAAGGAAGTTAATGTCTATAGGAGTAAGTTTCAAATGTGATAGCAGATTTTACATTTCAAAGTATATAATGTTAACAGAATTAAGAGATAAGTGTGCTCTTAGCATCAATATTTTTTATTTGCATTAACTGTGTTTGCCCTTGGAATATTTTCAATTGTTTTAAGTGATTAGGAAATAAGGGAAAATTGCCCCACAAGAAAATTTCCACGTTTACAGTATTTTGTGATCCTTTCTAGTTTTCTTTTTTAATTTCAATGTAGTTTTATGGCATGTTTTTTTTTTTTAAATTACAATACAGAACATTTTTTCTCCAAGTAAAAACTAAATCCATTTACCCAAAACTCTTTATGTTGCAGCCTTATAGAATTATATTTCCAGAGTTGTAAATGGATCTTTACTTGTGCATCATCAAGAATAAAAAATGTATTAATGCTTGTCAAATTGCGATAGTGCAGAACTGAAAGAGGTTTGGTGGAAATCAATAATACAAAACCAGGGCTGTTCTACCTTTACAGACCATGGTAAATATGTGTGCCTTAATTAGAATCGTACTTAATACTTGTTCTATGTAAATATTTACACATATGCACATTATCCTGAAAATTCAATTTTTCACATTGTTTACACACAACTCCCATTTTCCACATACATACAGTATTTATTTACTTTCTATTATAAATGCGTTTGATATATATTAAACTAAAAAATATATTTATATGACATTACAATTGAAAAGTGACTTTAAAGTATATTTTCAAGTGTTAAAGTACAGAAATACTTCAGATTTAACATTTAGATCTTTGCATGCAGTTTTGGAGAAGACGATGTTCTGTATATCTTTTATGATTAGCCCAACAAAATGATAAAAGCCTTTTCAGTGACCAGTCTTAATTATATTTATTCAAAACAAGTATGACTACTATTCTAGTATTATATATTACTGTGTTATCCTTTCTCATTTTTATAATAAACATACATAAAATATATCTATAATAGCTAAAAATAGATAAATAATAAAGTCTTTGAAATATAAGATTTTAGTATAAACATGATAAATACTTACCTCAATAAATTCAATATAGCTGACAATTTTACACTAAAGATGACAATGTTTACACTAAGAATAAACCCCAAGGACTATCTAACCAAACTTGTATCACTAGTTTCTAGATACACGGTATGACTAATACTTGTTTCAAACTAGATATGCTGTGAAAGTTTAGGAAGTTACAATCATTTCATTCTCTATTTCCCATTATATGTATAACTTCTTTACCTAATGATAAAGACTGGACTCTTCATCCATCAATAACTAGAAGAAATGTATTGCATACTTGTTTTGAATGAATATGATTAAGACTGATTACTGAGTAAATAATAGTTAGGTTATTAACACAACTGGACACAACTGTTTACTAATACTCTCTCATATAAATTAGTGGTCATTAAATAATATAGTAAGGTTATTAACCTTATAGGTCATCCACTTCTGGACAAGAATATTTACTTATACTTTCTCATATATATTAGTGGTTATTAATAAGAAGAATCTAAGACATTTTTTTTCTTTTTTTTTTAAATATCTTGGAAAAGGAAAAAAAATGAAACTTAAAATAATTGTAAAAAACTTTAGATATTTCAAGTGAATTAATAGTATTTAGAACCTTAACTATTTATGAATATCTTCCCATTCACCTTAGGAAATATCCAATAAATCTTACACAAAGGTCAGAACATACCCCATACATACTTGTGGATTTTATTGCATAATAGTACATGTAGTTGGAAACTGAAATATTTATGAATTCCTTCCCATTTACCTTATGCCAGTTCTGATGAATCTTACACAAAGGTCCAAAGTCCAAACATACCGGAGAGACTGGTCATATTTTTCTTACCATTTTCTTTCTGAGATATATACTATTCAAGAAGGAAGGACAAGTTAGTCTTTCACTTTAACACATCGTTGGGTCCTTTAATATAACTGTAAATTCAGTGATGGCAGTGGATGTCTTCAGGTATTTAATATTGTACATATGATTGTTTATTTAAAGCCTACAAGACTTAAGGTAGATAGGGTGTCTTCCTCCATCTTGGATTTTGAAATACCAGAAAACAATCGGTCTAGATCTATAATAAAAGGTGCAAATTTTGAGAGTAGTAGGTAATTCATGTGTAAGAATTTTCATTTCAATATAGAAAATGACATATTTTATCATATTTATGGTTGTATTTTACAAAAAAACAGAATACTTTTGTTTGATTCTATATTTTCCAACTTTGCCATATAAGGGGAGGCAACTCAAATGTAAGGGCAGATAATTCACATAAAGTTACTTTTACTATAGAATGTGTTAGGAATTTACCTATTTTATTATGTAGCAAGAAAACGGGTCCGGTGACCCCATTTTTTCTTTTTCTTATCTGAAATCATACTATTAGAGCTATCTTCTCATATTTTATCTCAAAATTCTATGGTGTAGTTTTCATTTTATGGCTGAAAATTGGGTTTTCCATGCATAATCTATACAAAATCTGTCAATTTTGCACAACCTGTAGCGTGAAAATAAGGCCCGTGACCCATTCTTTTTATTATTTTTTTAAAAAAAGCATGGTATAAACTACATTTTGGCAAATTATTAAAAAATTCTACGGATTATAATTTAGACACCCCATCTACCTTAAGACAATAAATTATATGTAAATAAGCTTTTATGATGAAGACATAATCTTTCAATCAGTTTAATTGAGGTCTGGAGCTGGCATGTCAGTAACTGCTAGTAGTCTGTTGTTATTTATGTATTATTGTCATTTCGTTTATTTTCTTTTGTTTCCTATTCTGACATCGGACTCGGACTTCTCTTATACTGAGTTTTACTGTGCGTACTGTTGTGCGTTTGTTTTTACTACATTGGCTAGAGGTATAGGGGGAGGGTTGAGATCTCAAAAAACATGTTTAACCCCGCCGCATTTTTGCGACTGTCCCAAGTCAGGAGCCTCTGGCCTTTGTTAGTCTTGTATCATTTTAAATTTTAATTTTCTGTGTATAATTCAAATTGCTTTTCAAATCTTTTTAGAAATACTACCATGAATAGCTGGTTTAAAATCTCAATAAAAATATGCACATCATACCATTTTCTTGCTTCCATAGTTCAATCATCACTTTTAAAATCATGTTATATATTTAATAAAAAGTACTTGACAGCTTGGCAATTTAAGCAAGACTTAAGCATGGTAAAAGTCAGATTTGTTATTGGAAAAAAAACTCTCAAAATGGTACCTTCATGGTTGATTTAGTAAATATATCTAACTACTTCTTAATGCAATTATTAAGATCAATGACCACCATTAAAAAGTTAAAGAGAATTCAATAAATGTCATAAATCGGTTGTACTGAGATTTCAAAATTGCTCTCTCTATTTGTATTTACAAAGACCTAAGCTTGATTTACATAGGCAAACATAGTTAAAATTAAAATGACATCAAAATGACTAATATGACCATTTCAGGTCAAACATGTGAATATGGTTTGAGACATCACAGTGACATCACAACTAATATTTCTGCAATAATGTGTCCAGATCCTCCTATTCATTTATCAATAAATCTAATAATATTTTGATGGATTTAAAGAATTTCACTATTTTTGTAATTTCCGGTGCTTGATAATTTCTATTATCATTCTTCATCCTTTAATTTTACATAGTTTAACAAATGTCTTGTGTTGCTAACCAAGATGTTTTCCTTTTTAAATAATGTCTTCTCAGGTAAACCTGATATATTGTCAGTGTTCTTTGAAGTCTTAACCAAACTGACATCAGAATCAAATTTTAAAATGATAAGGTATGGGACAAACGTATATATCTATATACAATATAGCAAACTTTTGGAATACAAACAAACTGAAGCATACTGTTTGGCTCTAATTCATAACATCCAAGGCTAACCGGTTAACTACATAAAAATAGGAAAAATAAGTAAGCAAATAGAATACTAGGAGTTACTGATAGAGAGGTCAGGAGCCAATAATGCAGGTTAATATTCATGATTTTTTGTAAACCACATACCAAAGATTAATAATTTATCTAAAGAGATATTAATTGGGAAAATATCCAAAAATGGGGTACAAGGTTTGGTAATATATAACTAATGAAAAAAAATGTGACAGAAACTATAAATCCAATTGTTTTGAAGGATATCGAGAAGAGAAGTACAGGACCTATGACTACTTCTAGAAGCAAAGAAAATAATGCTATAAAAAACTAACTGATTTTTAAGAACTAGGCTACAAGTATTTGTACACAAAAATAAAAGAAATGAACAGAATTATCACATTATGTATATCAATTCAAACTAAACAGCTATGTACATATGGTGTTTGAAAAAGTTCGATTTAAAATTGACTACTTTGCAAATGACATTTGGATATAAATTAGAGGATATCCAATACCATCAACTATCAATTTTTCACAGGTGGAATAATACTTCAATAAAGAACAGTGTAATGGTAATAGAATAGAACAAAAGTTTCATCCAGTCTATGATAATAATAATTTCTTATTGATTTTTGTGTTTTTGGTATCTGAAGTCTGCAAAATCATTATAGACAGTTGCATAACAGATCAGTTTATCAAGTACCCAGTACATTTACAACATTTAAACCAATAGAAATTGGATTTTAGGACTGTACAGATTTAACCCTTTAATTAGTTCAAGTTAAAACACTTGTTGTGCTATATGTGTATACATTTGACTAGTGTTACATTAAAAGTGTTTATATTTGTTTTAAGGATTTCAGCCTTTTTAATATCTAGAAATACTGCTGGGTTTGATATCTAGAAATACTGCTGGCTTTGATAGTTTTACTTAATTCCAGCTTGCTATCAGTGTAAATATAGGATCGGAAATTTCCTTTGAAATAATTTTTAGAAATCTTTGCTTGTTCTGACTTTGAAGTCAATTAAGAATTGAATTCACATTTTATAATTATAAGCTAAAAGAAAGCCTAAAACATAGCAAATTTTTAAGCAATTAACAGTTGACACAGAGATATGTCTTGCCTGTCAGCATAAAATTCAGAAAAAGACAGTGTGATGGACAGCAACATTGCTAATTTATTCAAAGTCGGTGGACTAACTAGTGGGTAGGGCTCGAAATGGTTGATAAACTGAGATGTACAAACAGCAATGTAACTTTATAGAAAATATTGTCTATTGCATGTATTTCCTATCAAACTATTAACTTAATCATAAAACTTAACATTTAAAATTGCTAATTAATTCAAAGTCACTGGACCAAAATTGTCATTGAGCTGATATGTACTGATAGTAATGCATCTTCATACAAAATATCAATGATCTATCACAAGTAGTTCCTATCAAACTAAGTTAAGCAGAAAACTTAACAATTTTTGACGCCGTCATCGCAGCCGTCGCTGGAAAAGCAATCGCCATGTCTCGCTAGACGAGACCAAAAAATCCTTCTGCTTTTCATGTAAAATGTGATATGTCACTTGCAATCATATCGCTTTAATTTACAAAACAGCATTTAATTCTTCAAAGTACAATACATTTTCACTTTTAATATAACACAGTCATTAGTTTATGTTGAGATAATTGTGTAGTACTAAGAAGATTTTGTAGTATAATGGATACATGAAGACGTGCAAAGCAGAGATAAGAACACACACACATATAGTGATGACATCGTACCTTCCTTGGTGATGGTACAGGTTTATCCTCAATATAAACTTTAGGTGGGGGAGGACGAGGAGGTGGAGGTGTTTTCTGGTTTTTCCTGAGCTGTAAATGACAATTATATTTAAATCTTTGCTTTTTTGCTTTCATTTATATAATAGAACACAATATATCTTTATCAAAACTAACATTGGATTTCCATCACATCTCCTTTTGTTCAAATAGGGATGAATGACTTGCTAAAGATATTTCAAAGATTTTCACAAGATCCAGTGTTTAAACAAATATTTAGCAATACCACAAAAAAAGCTATACAATCTTAGCAAGCATTTAGCACTAATTAATATGAATGCACATTGTCTCTTCATGAATACTACATTCATTTTCAATCACAGTATATGCTTTTAGCAAACATGTATACATGTACTAGCTTTATAAACTACCTATGCATATCAAAATCAAGCAGAACATTGAATCAACATTCTGGACAAGACCTGAAAGTCTCCTTTTTCATATTTATAACTTTTAGACTTTATATGAGTAAAGAAGCTTAAAAAAACATACATGCAGGTTAATATTATTAAATATAACTGTGATATAAAATTATTCCTGGTTATGTATAAAATTACTCACTACTAACATGCAGATTAATAATAGTGCCATTAAGTAGTCAGATCAGTTTTTCCTTGTCCATTTTTGGGGGATATTTCATGCCATATCCTTATGTAGCATTTACTAAATATTTAACTAAATTGACTACAGATACATCAATAGTAAGAATGCACCAACTAAAAAGCATGAAAAGGTTCTAAAATTCTTACCCAATGTAACTCGGGAGGATCCTCATTCTCATCCCTGAATAAACTATTGTAGTGAGCTACGAACTTGTACACTACTTGGTTTATAGCACCTTGGTCCCTCAAACCACCAATTCCCTGTGCACATCTGTAACAAATTACAACAAAGTTCAATGATTGATTAAACACTAAAAGGTTATGAAATGTAGGTTAACACTGCACGTTTAAAAAACTTTTTCTGTCCAGATAAAAATATACCCTGTTTACTCATAAATTCAAAGTTCATTGTTTACAGCATTAGATTTTATCTTATATCATGCTGAAGAATAAAGAAAATGTAAATGGGAAATATAAACAGCACAAAATTTACATAAAAGTTGTGTCTCAACTGGTACCTGATATGAAGATCCATAGTGTGAAAATGGGATGTCATATTCACAATTTTTATTAAATAAAATGGAGATTATTAATAAAAAAAAGTAAACTATTAAACTAGAATTGCACACATCCGTCATCTGTAACTACCGATACTCATTATTAACATACATGTAAAGTATGTCAGTCAAGTACCTGTAAGGATGACTGTCAACATATAATACAAGAGTGCACACCGTCATTAAAATCTCACCTGCTGCACTGATCATGATTGAATATGTTTATGAAAGTCTTTAATAAAGGTTTTTCTACAAGTTTCACATAAACTTAACATTATTAATGATCAATGATTAACGAGGTCAAGGACAATAGAAACATCATAACATAAGGCCTCTGTATACAGGTATGAAGCATCTAGCTTTTCTCCCTTATGAAATATAAAGCTATTTACAAATAGATAACGCAGAAGTGGCTACAAGCGGATTAGCATCCCTTTGTCTTGCATTCTGTGTCTTTCGTCTAAGAGAAACTGTTAAGATAATTATTAAGCCATTCAATTTTAACAGGAGAGTTTTTGAAGATATTAAATGACAAATGGGTGCCAAATGACCACAATAATGACCTGTAATTGGATTTAACTTCTTTCCATGTGGCTTCAACTCATATGAAATTTAACCACTATTACTGAATGGTAGCCGTCTTTAAAAACAGGCAGCAGAGAGTTTACAATGCCACCTTCACTTGTATATGGTAGCAATACTGCAACAGAATCTCTTAAGAAAAATAACAGGTCAAAGCCTGCTATCATAGAAAATGCTAAAATTTGAACTACTATTAAATTCACATAGATTTCACCTCCTCTGTGACTTATAGTGTGATAGTGAATATTTATCCTTACCTAAATATATTTGGTCCAAACACAATGGCAAGAGACATAGCAGTCATTTTGTTCTGTTTCTCATGTTTAGCTACAGTGACCAGAAAACCAGACAAATACTTCAGTAAGTTATAATGTTCCTTAGGTAGATTATCATGTAAACACTGCTTTAACTGGTACAAACAAGCTTTTATGTCATTCTGGTAAGCTGAAAGATAAAATAGAGGATTCTATAAGTGTATACATATGTCAAAAAAATTAAATTAAACTTTAGTTATAATTTACAAACTTGTTAGGCTTGTTTCTCATCAAAACACCATTTACAGTAACTTTTTTAGGGTCTGAATCTCATTTTCATTTGTAAGAAGTTAATGCCACTTGTTATACATGTAAAGCTTTATATGCTTACTATTCCATAGGGCCAAGAAACTAGCTGTTATACAAAGCATCAATGGTCTTAAACGTAACAATCTTTAGTGGTACAATACCATTACAATCTTATAATATTCAGTTTATACATCAATGCATCAAAACACGATGAAATCATTGTGGAAAAAATGTATTTTCATGATAATTTGATTTTGTGGTTTTGCCCAAGTTTGCATACAAGCCTATTGAAAGTTTGTACTGTGTTGAACATTTAAATTTGTGGTTCACCTTTTAATACCTACCAAATCCACAAAAATCGGTACCCCACGAATAATAATGAATCCAGGGTAAGTTTAAAGTGCTTTAATTTTGTGATTTTTCTTATAGTTGATGTTTTAATCTTCTTTTAATATTGTCAAGACAATCACCAATGCCTTACCATCTTGTATACAGACAAACTGTTGAGTCCTGTTCTCAGGTACAAGTGGTACTGGTAGTTCTCTCAGGAATAATTTCAGCAGGCCGGCAACAGCTGCTATGTCACCATCTTCTTCTAGATTAGCATCACCTCTGATATCAAACTCTCCTCTTAACTTTTCAATAATCTTGGAACTTCCACTGACTCGAAATATACCCTCTTGATCCAAACCTAATTCAAACAAAAATACATGACAATATAATTCTACCACAGATATTAACACACATATATAGTTGATAAGTTGTTCAATATGATGATAAGGGATTGGTGTTTAACGTCCAGTGACAAATATTTCATGCATATCAGGTTAGGAACATGTACATGTTATTATATGATTATAAACTCTGCTTTGTAATTGACCGACACACAGAGCTAGATTTCAAAAAATGATTATTGATAATGTAGCAGTTTGCAGGAAGACATCTCACATACTACGAAACATTACTCCTTTTCCAAGCTGACCAGTCTTTGGTCTTCTGCTGTGTGCTAAGCAGAGAAGCAGAAAATTTCATCAAGTGTTTATTAATATTTTACTATCCAATTCTTGTGCAATTAGGGAAAATTAAATGCATGCTATGCCTCTGGCAAAATAACAACTATTGGCATTTCATTTATAATACTTTTTTTTCTGTACTTTCTATTCTTAAATATCTTCAACACAATGCATCATCACTGGAGAATTGTAGAATGGGAAGTGCAAAAATCTTACTGATCAAATTATTAAAAGGTCTTTAAAAATTATCCTCTCACTCATTCAAATCTTTTCTTGTGTCCATTTCTTCATGGTTTTTCTAATCAATATCCTAGATTTATACACGCAGTACATGGTAGTAACTATTTCATATATACAGAAAACACTAGAAGACTGCTTACCTTTTTCAGCAATAGTTTCACAAATTTTCATAACAGCAAAAGGTACTTTGTATTTATTTCCCTCTCTGGCTAATAAATCATCCAAGTGGACACCAAATGTGCGGTTAACATTCGAGAAAACTTTCTTTCGGGTCCCAGGACTTAGCAATTTTTTCATTTTATCCATAGAACCATTTATTGGAAGACCTTTAGTCTGAAAATAAAAGAAAATAAACACCTATGAAAAAACTGGCAAATTATAGTTGTTGCATCTGCAAAATTACTCATGGGATTCCATAATTCTTGTCTTGTAAAATATCATTTTTGCTACCTCATCAGATTTTTGAACAGATTTTTATTGATTACTTCCACAAAACAAATACATATTCTATTAAAAGATAAAATATTATCATTATTGTTATAATGCCATAGACAGACAGTGCTCTCAGACAAAACCTTAGAATAAAGAAATAGAATATCAATACATATAACATGTTATTTCATTACACAAACAATATTAACATTGTTAAAAACTTTGAAGAAATCAACAATTTTGTTTATAACTGCACAAAAAAATTTAGAAATTGAGAGGTGCACAAATTAATTGTACCTGAGAAACTGCAAGTTTTTTTGAATCCTTTTCTTTAAAAATGTTAATATTGTCAAAGGTTTAAGTTTATATTTTACATGCATTTTAAGTTTAAGAAACTGCATAAATAATGCATAAATGTAATAAAAATTGTGTAAACTGACATTTTGTTGATTTAGAATCATCTCCTTTTTAAAGTTCAGTAATTCCAACATCCCAACTTATTCTTCCTTTTAGTTCCAGTAAGTGCAATGATCTTACAAACAAATACTATGGAACTGATACCATGTGATATTTATATATCACCTATTGCTAAATATAAAAGGAGGAAAGTCCTTGACCATATAACATCTCATTTGTATATACAAATTTGTATCCCCATAGGCAAAATGTACTAACCACAGCTCTACACGTGTGGCCATTTACTAGAGCATTTTCATTAACTATATGACAACAGTAAACACTTCTGACCCTTATTAACCTAGACTGAAATGACAGTGACCATAAACATTGACCGTACAAATGTGATTGACCTTTAGTATGGACAGTACTATGATCATAAACATTGACCTTACAAATGTGATTGACCTTTAGTATGGACAGTACTATGACCATAAACATTGACCTTACAAATGACTATTGACCTTTCATAATGGACAGCATTAAGTTTCTACCTGTGAAAAAGTATTTTTTGTAGACATAAAGAAGAAACATTTGAATAATTTCTTCATGTAATGTTCAGCTTTATATTGTATTGTTGAATGTACCTCAAGAAACAAGGATTTAAACATCCAAGCTTTATATTGTATCGTTGAATATACCTCAAGAAACAAGGATTTAAACATCCAAGCTTTATATTGTTTTGTTGAATGTACCTCAAGAACCAAGGATTTAAACATCCAAGCTTTATATTGTATTGTTGAATGTACCTCAAGAACCAAGGATTTAAACATCCAAGCACATGGCATCCATATTTTATGGTTAAGTTTGATTTTTACTTGGTTTACCTTAATGTTAATGTTGACAGCAGATCATTTCAGTAAGGTGGTCTTTAACCACAAAAACACACACCTCCAACACAATCATATTTTTCAGACAAGCAAAAGTTCTTACTCTATATCACTAAATCTCAAATTCATCATACAACTACTGGTTCTAATGTGCATATTATGGAAGACTTTTTGGTTAATACATCCAAATAAAAATTTGAAGAAACAGATGTTTATATACCATGTGCACAGACTGTTTGGAGCTGAGTATAATAAAGGGCTAATTTACATCTGGAGGCACAAACTACAAATAGAGAATTATTTCTGTAATACTTTCATAGGTTAGTCTCTTATGATCTTCTAAAGTGTCAGCCATGGTAAGTGATACTTAAAATTAATATTCTAATGCAGATTCGTGTGACAAAAGACAGTCCAATTTGTTCAAATACAGAACTCATATACATATTTAAAATAACTATTCTTTAACATATAACATATGATGTAACATATGCATTTATAAATTATAATATTTGTTTGATACTGTTCCAACAACTGCCTAACACTAAAATTTGGAACATAATTAATCATACAAGTAGAAAACTATTATAAACAAGGAATTATTTGAATCTGGAATAATTTTGAATTCTGGAAAATTGATGAGAAATTTATGATGAAAACTAACCCAACTAAATAGGGTTAGCCATGCACGCATGGCTAAGGGGGATAGTTAGTTCATACTGAAATGATAGTGAAAGTAAAATTAACCTTAGCCATGTGTGCATGGCTAACCCTATTTAGTTGGGTTAGTTTTCGTCATACATTTCTAATCAATTTTCCAGAATTCAAAATTATTCTAGATTCAAATAATTCCTTGTTTATAAACATTGTAGAAACCTACAGCTGATATATGTACTATTGTGATCATATTAAGCATTGTCATTACATATATGATTGACCTTTACATGACCATCATACTATGACCATAAACATTGACCTTTAGTGGTCATTACTTTGACCATAAACTTTGACCTTACAAATGATGATTGACCTTTTATAATGGACAGAATATAGTTTCTCTCTGTGATAAAGCATTACATGTATATGAAGAAACATTTGATTTTCTTGCTTTATATTGTTTTGTTGAATGTGCCTCAAGAAACAAAAATTAAAATATCAAAGAGCATGGAATCTATACTTTGTGGCTTACTTGGTTTTACTAAATTTACCTCAATGTTAACTTTTAAGTCAAAAGTCAAACTTCAGTTTTAGATGCTATTAATAAACAAGATTTAACCTGAACCAATTTGAATGGTTATAACAGGAAATTATTCAGTTATGTTCAGTTTTTCTGTCAATTTTCAAACAGTTCTACTGTAGTAAATTTAATACAGTTCCAACCTGCCAACTATCCCGATTTATCGGGGAAATCCCCCATGAGAGGTGTTGACCTGAATTTTAAAATTCTTTATTTTATAAACTGAACACCTCAACACAGGCATTCAAATGAGTTAAAAGGGTATTTAAGCACATACATACTCATTGAAACAATATAGAAGTAGATTAAAAACGCTTATGACAATAAAAGAGGAGCATAAGTTCCTATTGCGCTTAAAATCCCCCATGGAGATTTTGAAAAGTTGGCAGGTATGCAGTTCACAAAAAATGACTGGAAACTGACTCCAAGTAAACTGTCGCAACACTGCTGTGTACATTGCAAGAAAACGTTTAGAAATGAGCTTGTACTTGAAATAAGACTCTACATTTATTTCAAATAATATTATTAATAAGTTCAAAATGACAATTTCAGTGAAATTCATTAGTGTGATGGGTTTAAAATAAATTAACTGGGTGTTAGAATACATCTAACTCCCACCAACTTGTTACATTATCTAAAATTACATTCCACAGTTTATAGTTATATAACTTAATGCAAGGGGGCATCTATGGAATTAAAATAACGTCTGTCCAAAAATAGGATGATCAAACCTTTATTACAAGTTTTATTGACATAAAGGATACATCTAGGGGAGTAAAATAGTAAACCTTAAACTGCTCTGTCAGACCAGTTCTCAGTTTCTTGGTAAAATATATATCTTGCAATTTGAAGTAATGATAATGTATGGAATTATAAAAAGCCTCCAATGCTGTTCACTCTTTCCTATATAACATATCTCGCTTATAAGCTTTATATCTTAAAAGAGTCTTTAGTTATGTGTCTTTGTGTGGTTACAAATGTAAAATCAGATGATTGCTTTCAATAGAAGCAGGTCACACTAACCCATATTAAATGTTTCAATGACTTCTTAAAATTTCACTATTTGAGTGAACTTCTCTGATTCTTGTTGAACAATGCATTTGGATGAATGTCAGTTACAGTAAATTAAGAAATTATCGCATGCATTTATTATTGCGATTTTTCAAGAATGGACAAAAATGCGAGATTAATTATTGCGATATCATGAAAATCTGCATACAGATATATGTAACAGACATCAGAATGCGAGTTCTTATTATTGTGATAGTCACCCAGTCGCATTATTCGCATTAATAAAAACCTCGCAATAATTTCTGAATTTACAGTAATCACACCAAATACTGTAATTATGGCCTACCTACATTTTACTCTTTTTTCAAATTAAATTAAATGTTTTTTCCTTATCCATTTGGAAAATTCATGGATTTCTTTGTCATGATTGTCTTGATTCTATTGTAAATTGATTTATTTTTATTTTTTATATATGGTGATCAACTTTTAGGAAAGAGACCAATTAATACTTTCAAAAGTAGGACAGAAAAATTGATGGACTCTCTCTTTAAAATAAAGAAAAAAGTAGAAAGTTTGTTTGACAGGGATTTAAACCAGTTAATTTTGGAACTAAGTGCCCATTATGTACACACACAAGAATGTCACAAAAACTTTAATGATCATCTAATAACTGAATTTTCCCCAATTTGGTTCAGTGCAGTTTGAGCATAAGACAACAAGGTCACTCACTGTAAAAAGAAATGGACATTCTAAACACTGATGTCAAAATATAGGAAAGAAATCTACAAAGTTTAAGAAATGGAATTCATCTAGTTAATTGTACTGTTCTTTATCAAATTTTCATGAAAATTACTTAAGAGTTGCCCTCTTTGTTTAAGACTAACATTGCGACTATTTTTTAACCTGCTAGTTCACAAGGTGATAGCTTGCATGAAGTCATGAAACCCTACCCAGAAACATTCATATGCCAATTTTGGTTTCTGAAAATGTTAGACCTATACACACAAAATGTATCCATGTGTTTGTACAGAAAGAAAATCATAAATTGCCTCAACAACATTCTTGGTGGAGCCAAAAAAACAATTTCACTTACGTTTTTTTCTGTATCGATCCTTTTCGGTAATTTTATTCATTGACTACTTTCATTTTATCTCACAGAAGGAAAAAAATATTTATTTTTAAATGATTCTGTTCTTGTTTAGTTTGTAAGTTTTTGATATTGACAGTGACCACCTACAGAGCATCATCTGGTCAATGACAGATATGAACATCTATGAAGTATATATAGATATAACAACAATAGCCGCTGACGTCACACTCATAAACATCTATATATATGTCACAAGAAAAACAAATGAAGACAGCAGTCT